ACAACACATATCTGGAAGATGGTTATCAATAACCACATTTTCTATAAACTTGAAAATATTGAGATCATTACATTTCTACTTTACCCCCCAAAATATTTTTCTAGTATGGACACATAATAACAACAACAGACATAAACAAGCAACTTTTGTACAAAGTAATTTATTGCAGAATTGTCTAGATTGGCATGATTTTACTGTTAATTATTCTCTTTCAGCAACTATGAATCTAAAGAGATAAAGGAAAATCACTTTAATTAGAACTGTCTAGGCCAGGCGGTGGTGGTGCACACCTTTAATCCCAGCACTCGGGAGGCAGAGGCAGGTGGATCTCTGTGAGCTTGAGACCAAGCCTGGTCTACTGAGAGAGTTCCAGGACAGGCTCCAAAACAATACAGAGAAACCCTGTCTCGAAAAAACACAAAACAAAAAAAACCCAACCAAACAAAAAAAGAACTGCCTAAAATCTCCATTCTGAGTTTGTATCATAGATTTACAGACATATTCACATAGCTGAGAAATAGAGTGATTCCATTATATGATATGGCAAAAAAGGTGTGTCCCCCAAATACTGTTCAACACTATGATTTAATAGCTTAACTAATTATAGTTTAAATTCTCATCCGAGGAATCTAAATATAGCTAAAGAATGGCTGTGAGGCTGACAGAGATGTTTTAATTTGTACTCTGCCCAATCATGCTCCCTTGAAGAAAACCTCTCAGGATAAGCTACTTGCTAACTCTCTAAGCAATTAATCAAGAAAGCACAATTCCTCCACAATGGTCCTCAAGACTAGAACAGATACACACAACGAAATTAATGGTAAATTTACATGATTAAGAGGCAAACCAGTCTTCACACTCTGAATCATCAACATAAAAATTGGAGTACCTTCATTCAACCACAAAGTACCACTTTTATGGCTATTGCAAAAGAATATTAGGCTTTATTAGAGACTAATGAAGACAAGGAAGAAATACAAATCATTCAAGTTAAGGTAAAAAAGGGAGCAAAATTGCATTATCTATCAAAATGGGAAATATGGCTATTTCTCAACATATAGCTAACACTTCAAAATAAAACAAAATCAAATAAAAAAGCCAATAAAGATATCAAAACAGATTCTGAAGTTAGGATCAAAAGAAAATATAGTAAGTGGGCTATCTACACCTTAATCAGCAACTAAAGTATAATACAGAAGCGACAACACTCATAATTCAGGTAAGACTTTACAAGTATAAACAAGTAACTGTAACACACAGTTAATAATGGATAGAACTGAGCTCTTTAACCCACTTAGAGCTATGCTGTGGAGTTACATGTTTTTGTTAGATATTGCACAACCTATAAATCAGCCTGTGAAGAATCTTGCCTTCACATTTTTATCTTTTATAGTTTCATCCAACCTAGTGGCTACAGCAATTGCTTTCTCTTGCCTTGACTTGCCAAAAAAATACATCATTTTAGCACCTGAAATTCCAAGACATTCCAAGATGAGTAACTCTGAAGGCTTATGTTTCATCTGGTTAAAACCAGATGTGGCTTAGAGTGTTTAAATAGTGGTGGGTTAGAGCTGGCATCTACCAGCTCTGGGCAGCCAACTGTGACATTTATTCCTAATTTCCTCCTGTTCAGTAACATCCCACTGAAGCTTTGGTTACAATGGAGTGCAAGTTACCATGGCAATAAGAGTAGCAGTCAACAGCACTTGCTGCTCTGCAGGGTTAGTTTCCAGTACCCACATAGCCGCTTACAACATCTGTAACTCCAGTTCCAGGCAATCTGATACCTCTTCTGCCTCCACAGGTACTGCACACATGTTGTGCACCAACGTACATGCTGTAAATTCTCATACACATAAAATTTTTAAAAGAAAGTTTAAAACAAAACACATTGTCAAAACTTTTCCATCATAGACAGTTATCTAACATTTACTGAAAGAAGGCTAATTTGGCAACATCTGTGCTTAGAAACAATGTGATTCAAAATGATAAACATATAGGATAGCCATGTGTTTATCATACAGGATATTTCAGCCAAAAAACCACTTTTAAAAAGCACAGGACCTTAAACTAAAGAATCTAAAGAATAAATTACTGTCACAAGAATATGGTCAAAGAAAGATATTTCCCTACTCACAAAGAAAGTAATTTTAAAAGGCTACTTAAAATAAAACAAAACACAGTTCATGTGTCCTGAAAATGATATGGTCTATGTTCACATTCCTACTAAATGTACATTTATTTGTAATTTGTTGAAAACTCTATACATATTAACTTACAGTTATAAAATGGTCTTTTGACTGTTTTTGAATGGGATATTTTGACTGCACTGACACACCCAAGACTGTCAATAAAGTTACTTTAAATCAGAGGGTAGAGCTAGCTACTAACTGACTAAAATTAGCCACAGAGGCTTTGGAGGACTGAGGACATAGAGAGAGACACAGGGAGTAGGGTGGGGCTTAGAAAGATTCTCAGTCCTTTTGGATGGAGGGAGGAAGGAAGAAGACACTGGTCACTTCTCTACCACTTCTCTGATCATTCAGGTTCTTACCCTGATATCTGACTCCCAAGTTTTTGTTGATAAAGAATAATTGGATAAACACTTCATTCATCCTTTCTTCTTTTTCTTTTCTTTTCTTTTTTTTTTTTTTTGAGACAGGGTTTCTCTGCATTGTTTTGGAGGCTGTCCTGGAACTTGCTCTGTAGACCAGGCTGGCCTTGAACTCTGCCTCCCAAGTGCTGGGATTAAAGGCGAGCGCCACCTTTTTTTTTTTAAGATGTATTTATTTATTGTTCTGTCTGCACATGTGCCTGTAGGCCATAAGAGAGCATTAGATCTCATTATAGATGGTGTGAGCCCCCATTTAGTTTCTGGGAATTCAAATTGGGACCTCTGGAAGAGCAGTCAATGCTCTTAACCTCTGAACCATTTCTCCAGCCCCCATGTTTTATTTTTATATGGTAGAAATTTTCTTTTTCTTTAGAATTTCATTTAATATTTAAAAACCTATTTCTTACAACTACTAAAAAGAATATTATCCTGGTTTTCTAAAACATTGTTTCACCTATTTAAAAAATTATTATTTTGAGTGTGTGTATGTGGGGGGGGGTTTACGCATTTGCGTGCAGGGACCACAGAGGGCAGAGGTGTTGAATCCCTCTGGAGCTGGAGCTGCAGGTGCATGTGAGCCTCCTGATGAAGCACTGGGAATCTGAATCAAACTGTCTGGAAATGCAGTGCAAGAACCTCTGAGCCGCTGAACTATCTCTCCAGACCCTCTGTCTGTTCTAAAAGAGAACTTCTCTGCTTTCTACCTAGACACATAATGTTTTAAATCTAAGTACTTCTTCCATATGCATTACAATGAAGACATTCGCCTTAACAACAAACCTTAGATTAAAATTATCTCCATAATTTTAGGCAAAAAATATCTACATGGCTTAAAGTACAGCACAGTTAATTTTGGTACATCTTTCAAGTTGGTTTATCTCCAACTTTTCTATCATCTTCCATCTAGTTTTCATTTATGCTGCCCTTGACATTTTAGGGATTTGTGTAAGCTGCCTAAAATTTTTTCCAAAACAAACAGGACACTGAAAGAGCAGTCTCCGTACAGATGGTGTCTCTAGAAGACAGGAACGTGATGAAAAGCACAAATGGCTCCTGTGGCTGCTGGAGCAGATCCGGGTCTCTAGTGCACTAGATGACACATATGGGTTCTGGCACACTGGAGACCCACAGAATGGTGCTGAGCCCAGGGCATTGCCAGTTTCCTGCCCTTTGTCCACAGACACACTGCCAGGACATGTTGCCCCCCATGCACACCCTCACACACCACCATCTGCACACCATTTGGGACCCACTGGTGCTAGTGAACTTCCGTAGTAAACCAGATCTGCACCCCGTTGCTGGTCTGGAGTCTGCTTCCCGATGACTCATCGTGACTCCACCATCTCACGCCCCTCAGGATACAAATAAATTTTCAAGACAGAAAATACATAATGCAAAGCTAAGGATGTAGCCCAGTTGGTAGAATGCTTGCCCAACTTGCATGAGGGCCTGAGCTCAGTCTCTAGCATTGCATAATAAAACTACACGTGGTGGACCATCGCTCTAATCTTAGTACTCAGGAGGTGGAAGCAGTAAGAAGTTCCAGGTCATCCTTGGCTATAACTGGCCAACCCAAATGACATTAAACCCTCCACAAAAACTAAATGAAAAAAAAAAGCACAACAGAAACAAAATTTTGAGAAAAACTCCGCAGACACACACACACACACACTACACACACACAGACACACACATTTCTTTACTTATAACCAGATAACTAGGTCGCTGTAATCCCGGCACTTAGGCCCAAGTAGGAAGATTGCTTAAGCGAAGTCTCAGCACATACCAGTTTCAAAGCCAGCCTGGGCTACATGAGACCTCATCTCCAAAAAAATAAAAATAAAAAAGCTGTCAATCACTGTCATTATAAATCATTTGAGTAGAATTAACACTGCTTTAAATGTTTAAATGACTATCTAGTATTCCAGTCTACCATTTACCACTATTTCCCATATCACTGAACATACATTTATTTGTTCATTCTCTTTCCCCAAATTTCACATATGGATATCTTTGTTTGGATTAATTTGTTTGAGCCAGGGTTTGTGTATGTAGCCAACTAAAGCTGGCCTCAAACTTTTTTTTTTTTTTTTTTTTTTTTTTGGTTTTTAGAGACAGGGTTTCTCTGTATTGTTTTGGAGCCTGTCCTGGAACTCGCTCGGTAGACCAGGCTTGGTCTCGAACTCACAGAGATCCACTTGCCTCTACCTCCCGAGTGCTGGGATTAAAGACGTGTGCCACCACCGCCCGGCTGGCCTCAAACTTATAATCCTCCTGCATCAGTATCTGCAGGGATTACAGGTGAGAACTACTATCCCCCAGTGGTCGTTGGATTAAGTTACTTACAAAAATATAAGTATAGAATCAAAAGGCATAGTCAATGTGCAACTTTCAAAAAATACTTTTATTTATATTTGATGTGGACTGTTGTGGGCCACCATGTGGGGCTCTGGAAACCGAACCTGGGTCCTCTGCAAGAGCAGCGGCAGTACTCTTAACCACTGAGCTTCTCTCCAGCACCTAATGTGCAACTCTTAGTAAGATGAACAAATTGCTTTCCTAAGTGGCTGTGTGCAGCTTACTATACACTCTATTCTCCATTTTAACAAGAACATTTCAGCCCGTCCAAAAATACAAATGGTCTTGTGCTCTTTTCTCCCTTTTTTCCTCTGGTAACTAATTAGACTGAACACTTTTCCAAATACAAACCAGAAAGTAGATGCTGAAGAGCGGTAGCATTGTGTTTGAGGAAATCCTCATTAAAGCGATGCAAATCTTTGTTGACAAATACTTTCTTCATTTCTTGAGCTAGAACTTTGCTCACAATGTCTGGAAGATTAATATGATTAGATACTACAAAAACAAAAACATTTGGATATGTTTTTATCTGTCCTTTCAAGGGAAAAAAATCAACTGAAAATTTTTTGTATTTAGTGTTATGCTTAATGAATATATATGTACAGTAAAATTACTCTACAACTCCTTTGAAACAAATAGTTTAGTCTAAAATGCACTAATTTCTATCTAATTGTTTAATTACAGGTATAACTGCCATTTGATATCAGGCAAACCTTTGCTTTCATTACATCTTTGTGGTCTCCTTCCTATCCAGCTAAATGGAGGATGACTTGCTTATATTTGCTTTTCATAGCTGCATGTACATGAATACCTCCTCCTTATACTTACCAGACTTGGAAAATTTAATCAAGAATTCATGCAACCATGCATTATTACTGTCGATGGCAAAGGCTCGTTTAACAGACTGCAACATTAGCAGAAATTTCCCTGTGCCACAAAAACAAAACAAAAAAACAGCCTCAGTAATTATGTTCTATCTTCATTTTATTTTAGCTTCACGTAAATTCAACTTAAGAACTTAATTTAAAAAAATTGTGAGAAAAAGTCAAAGTTAATTTTCATTATCCAAGATAATTTTTCCCCAAGGCAATGTTAAGTGAAGCTTTTTCTTTGCTAGCCGCTTTGGTTTATCCCCCCGCCAGTCGCCTGGGCTCTGCCGCGCCAGCCTGGTTCTAGATCTGCATGAGTCCCAAATAAACACACAGGAGGCTATATTAATTATGAAGCTGTTGGCCTTGCTTGTCCCTTACTGGCTAGCTCTGCCTTAAGTAATTACCCCATAATTGTTAATCTAAGTATGTTTCTTACCGGAGAATAGTTCCCGGCTTCCTACCCCCATGGCGTCACATGTCGACTCCTGTGTTTCTCCTACCCAGAGTTCTCCTGGACTCCTAGTCCCTCCTATCTAGGTTTCCTATAGGCTCAACAGTACTTTATTGACAAATGCACAGGACTTCCCCCAACAAGGCAATTTTTGCTTTCCTAAGAAAATTTTAAAAAATGTTTCAAACAGACTGGGTGGCGGCAGTGTATGCCTTTAATCCCAGCACTCGGGAGGCAGAGACTGGCAGACCTCTGTAAGTTCAAGGCTAGCCTGGTCCAGGACAGTCGGGATACATAGAGAAGCCCGTCTTGAAAAACCAAAAGAGAAAAAAACAAAAATAAAACCCCCAAAAACAAAAAAAAACTGCTTCACATACATGTCTTAGTTAGGTTTCCACTTCTGTGATAAAACATAGACCAAAAGCAACTTGGGGAGGGAAGGGTTTATCTCATCTTACAGCTGGAAGTCCATCATCCAGGGAAGTCAGGGCAGGAACTCTAGACAGGAATCCTGAGGCAGGAGTTGATGCAGACCACGGAGGAACTCTACTTACTGGCTTGTTCCTCATAGCTTGCCCCACATTTCTTATACTTCAGAAAACCACCAGTCTATGGCTGGCACTGCCCATAGTGAGCTAGATTCTCCCACAATAATCAAGAAAATGCCCCACAGGCCAATCTGGTAGAAGCATTTTACCAAGTGAGGTTCCCTCTTCCCAAATGTAAAACTTTAGTTTGTACTGACATAAAATGAACACATTCAAACTATCCTCAAAATGGATAATATTATCCGTATCTTGGTATGTTGTCCAGTAAATTTTTGAGTAGGAAAATAAAAGGGAATTGAACCTTTGTGAAAGGTTGGCTTAAAGCTCTAAAAAGCAAAAAAGTGGATCTCAGTGACAAAATTATATCTCAAACAGTCAACATTATAAAGGCTAGAAGCTGATCTCTAGGTTAAAAGTGTACAGTTCAGTGAAGAAGCACATGCCTAGCTTATGTGAGGCCCAGAGTTCAAGCCTCTGCACCATGAAAAACAAAACAACAATAGACATACAAGCCTCAATTCAAAGTGTGTTACCTTTTCTAAAATATATTTCAAATGCCAGCAGGTGGGTATAAATGTTATCAGCAGCAAGGGTCTTTAGAGGAGTGAGGAACTTGATGGCTTCCTCTAATGGATTGTCAACCTATTTTAAAGCAAAAAGAAAAATTTTTTTGTATTTAAAAAGGGGAAATCATAGACATATATCATTATATATAAAATAGTTCTTAATATAGTGGAACCAAAGTTAATTGCACAAAAATTAATAATTTCATAGAAAATGCTAATTTTTTCCCTCTGTCTCTTCACTGATTTGGTACAGATTACAACCTAGCAGGACAAATGAAGGCTAAAACTCTTACAAAGGAGATGTGGGAAGCAGCTTGTAAAATTATGGCAAGAACAGAATCAAATAGCATGAATTTTACCATATAACAGTAATTGTAAACTCAACTCACCCTTTCTAGTTTTTCAGCTGTAAGTTCTTCCTTATGACCACTGGCGGTTTCTTCTTCTTCCTCTCTTTTTTTCTCTGGGTTTTCCTGCTGACATTCCCTTTCTGTGTGCTTTCGCTCTTCTTGTAACTTAGCCTTTTTCTGGGCTCTTCTTTGCTTGCTAAGCATTTTCTTCAGTTCTTTGGCTGACAGTATCTCTATAAATATTCAAATGTGTGAAAAATGTTGTTGTCATTTTGCATGTTTTGTCTTCTCTATAATATATACTATCAATACATTTTTCTTTTGGATGGGGATGGGAGTCTATGCAAAAGGTTTTAGAACGTATATTCTTGTGACTAGTCAAACATGGCACACAAAAGGCAGCCAACAAATGCTGGTTGCATTAGTAACTAAAACCAATTCCAACTCAGTCTTGTCTCTGTGATAATTCTGCCTCTGTCAACTTGACACACTCTGGAGTCACTTAGGAAGCCCATTGATGGCTGTCCACATGAGGCTGGCCCCTGGGCAGGTCTGTGGGAAACTGTCTTGGTTATGTTAACTGTCTTGGTTATGTTGCTGGGTTTGGGTCACATAATACATTAAAGAGGAGAAAGCTGAGCACTGTGTGTATGCATGCATTCTCTCTGCTCCTGACTGCTCCTGCTGACTTCACTCCCCTGCTATGATGGACCCTAACCTGGAATTGTGAGTTAGAATGAGCCCTTTCTTCATTAGCTGCTTTTAAAGGACAGTTTATCACAACAGGAAACAAAAACAGTCTCTCATAAATAAGTAACAGGAAAATCACTTTATCCCCCTCAGCTTCAAGTTTCAAAACATGTACCAATTATGGTCTTGGGCTGTTTCAAGGGTGAGAGAATGTATGTGATGAAACCTGTACTTCCTAGCTACTACATACTGGGCTTCCATCAGTCACTGACAGTCCAGGGACTGAAATGTAACAGAGGCATTCTCACTTTCAGCAAAGCAAATACCACAAATTGTATGAACATGTACTTTTCCTGAGGTACTCAAAACTTTCTAATTGAAAAACATTTATTAGGTTGGGTAGTGGTGGCACATGCCTTTAATTCCAGCACTCAGGAAGCAGAGGCAGGTGGATCTCGGAATTTGAGGCCAGCCTGGTCTACAGAGTTGAGTTCCAGTACAGCCAGGGCAACACAAAGAAACAAACAAAACAAAACCATGTATTAGTATGTTTGGGGGTGTGGGGTGTGGAGAGGTTAAAATTGGAGGGAGGGGGTGTGCCTTAGTGCATGTAAGAAGGTCAGAGGTCAATCTTATAGAATTGGTTCTCTCCTACCTTTACATGGGTTTCAGGGATCAAACTCAGGCTCATAAGGTCAAAGTTTTGTCTACTGAGTCATATCACCAGCCTCACAAGCTTTTCTCCAATTACCATTTAAAGAAAAAAAAATAGCTCACAGACATTTATGCTCTTTCTTAACTGATGTTACAGAAAACAAGTCTAAGAAATACTGTGTTTGATGCTGTGGTACATACCTTTAACTCCACTTAGGAGGCTGAGGCAGAAACATCAAGAATTGAGGGCAGCTGGGGGTGGGGGCATGCAAGTCATCTCACTGGGCTGACCGAGATGTGTCTGTTAAAGAACATCAGCTCCTAACTTTTTCCTAATGTATCAGTTAGTCAATTCTGTCTTCACATCCATTTGACGACACACCCTTTTACTGTTATTTTGGCTGTGCAAACATGGGGTGAGGTAAGACAATCTGATATAGTATACAGTGTATAACTGGGTTAACCTTTTTTTTTCTCTAAGAAACAAGCTTTCTCTGTGTAGCCTTAGCCGTCCTGGAACTCACTCTGTAGACCAGGCTGGCCTTGAACTTTAAGATCTTCTTGCCTCTGCCTCTTGAATGCAGTCCAGCTAATTTTTTATCTCCTTAGTCATTTGTTGATACATTTTCAAAATGCAATATGCTAATCTGATATTAATATTTTGAAATTTAGTACTCTTTTTAAATCTTTTCATTACCTGAATTTATGTCTTGCTGCTTGCTTTCATTGGTTAAAGGGTTATCATGTTATTTCAAATATATTTCAATTGCTGACCTAGCAGCCTTGAAATAAAAGGTGTGTCTTCTGAGAGTATCTTCTAGTCTCAAGAGGTCAACATAAGCGCAAAGGGTCATTTTTCTCAAGCAGTATGTATGGAAGTCAAATTGATCATCGGTTATCTCAAAAAAATGCTTAAAAACAAAACCACAAGATTACCTCTTATATTTATGCCAATAACCTCTACCTTTTAAAAGAGAATTACAAAAAGCCTCCAAAACAATATAGTCACAGATACACTTGGTTGCCCTTTCCAATGTTAACAATACAAAAGGCTTCAAGTTTTCTGCATTCAATTAAAGTGTCCTCACGGCTACCATATTCTGAACACACCTGATTTCAACTTAAAGGACTCTCCTACAATCCACCCTATTTCTTCATATCATATTTTATGATGAACCTCTCCCCTGATAAGTATCAGGTCATCTCTGGAAATTAGTACATGTTAATGTAATTTTCCTCTGCACTCCCATAAAACCAACAAGGCAGAGCTAAATGCAACTCTGAAAATGATTTCATGCAGGCTCACACTAAATGTTGACAAATCTAACGCATCTACTCCTCCCTGCGCTCTTGTGTGTAAGCCCACAGCACAGTGCCCACCACTTGAGGTAAAGAGCCCGTCAATAGGGCGTGTGAATAAATCTTTTATTTCTCAGTGCCTTAGTGATTCCATCTAAATTAGGATACATCTATATAGGCAGTTTCTTAAAGTGATTGTTCAAGCTACACATTTTAAAGTTCTTTTTAGTAAAGTGCTATACAAAGACAGCATTATGACTTTTCCCTAGTGAAGAAGCTCTCATTAACACACCCATACTCCATAAATTTCAAAATCTTAAGCCATAAGGTTTTCCTAACAAGTGAACTCAATGCTTTCATCTAATTTCCAACAGACTCACATCCCCACCCCAGAAGGATAAGTAGTGGTTCCTTTCACCAAAAGAAAACAGTTCATCTCTGACCTATATAAACAGTTTTATGATTTATTTTTCTCCCTGACATATATTTATACCTCTGCTTCCCCACTCCACTTTGGCTTCTCCAAACTCATATAAAAAAATGAAGTACTCCATATTCCCTCAGGGGAGAAGGGGTGTTGAAGGTGGTCTACTAGCAACTCACTACGCAGAGGATATATTAGCAATTGTTTTGAACTAATTGGTATTTTTAGTCAACTTGGTAATTAGAAACATGTTATATATACAAAATCACACTAAATATCTAAGAGTTTAAGAGAAAAATTCTAAGAATAAAAGTATAACACAGACAAAAAACAGAAAAAATAAATATTTCATATTAGTTCACAGTTATTAGAAAATCATGTTTAATGACATATTTGAAAATTGAATTTTCTCAATGAGATAAATAAATTAGTAATGACATTAATTTGATTTATTTTTAAAAAATCAAAGGCTAACATATTTCAGAAAGTTGTCAGTGCTTTTTCTTAAAGCAAACCAAACTTACATAAAAGTAATACATTAAAATTCAACCCAATTGGCTAAGGGAAGCAGAAATGCTAAATCCTAGAACACACAGTAAGATGAAAACATCTAAGGAACTACAAGACATCGTTTAGGTTGAGAAACAAGTGAAAAGCAGATGACAAGCTTCAAAAGAGACTCCTAGAAGTATCAGTAGACATGGATTTTAAGTCACATTTCAGAAGTCATCTGGAACCACGAACATTTAATCCACCTCTATCAGTAACAGCCCACAGGCTGCCTCTCTCCAGTTGATGTCTTCTATAACCCAGGTGACCAGCTTAGCCCAGTTTACCAGAAGTCACCTCAGTTTTTCCAGTGAACACACTGTGACCAAAGGCAAACCTGGGTATTCATTTATTCCATATAGCTCTTGGCAGCAATAAGTAAACAAACAATCAAGCAAATAAATAAGCTGCATAAAATGAGAAAAAGCAGGATACTATAGCTATGGCTTTGGGGTAAACAAGGGCACTGCAGAATACTACATAAGCAACTAAATAATCTTAAACCTTTTCTCCTCTGCCTAGCAGACACTGCTGGCAGATGGTCAACAAAATTAAACTTGACCATGAAATGGAAGCTAACACTGACTATACAGTAAGACCCTCTTTCAACAAAACAAAAACAAACAAAAATTAGGCTTGAATTATGATTAGCTGGCAAAGAATCAAGAAAAGCTATCCAAGTTTTAGAGTATGACTTCCTTCAGGAATTCTGTGTGCGGCCCTCTCTTCTGGCCACCTTCCTGTCTGTCATGTCTCTGAATTCTTGGCTGAGACAATTAAAAACTTATACAGAGGAGGGGGGGAAAAGCCTGTTCTTGAAAATGGTGACTACATCAACTTAGAAAATAAGCAAACTTTTCCTCTCTAAAGGGTCTGTCATTATAAAATGTGACAACTTAAAAAGGATGCAACAGGTTTTAGAAGTCCTGGGTTATATAAAGAGTTAGAAATACATACATTATTGTATATGCAATATATATTGTCCTGACCAATATAAACCAGCACACTAAAAAGAGATGCCAGTATTTTTAAAAACATAAATAATTCAGAATGTTGCTATAAATACAAGCTTATAGTACTTTGAAGATAGCTGTTTTGTTTAATAAAACTTAAGCATCATATTGGACTAGGCCACACAACCTTTACTATTAATAATCATTATTATCATCATCTTAAAATCCAAAATGAAGACAGAAATGGTATTATGTACATTCCAGAATGCTAAAATTTCAAATCCAACTTCTAAAATACCACAGCAGAAGGTGAATCTGAAACTGCCTTCAATGAAAAAGTTCTTGAATGAAATCTTGAAAGCAGAAAGACCTGCTCCTTATTTAAACTTCTTTCTTAGCTTTATTTCTATTTAAAAAATAAAACACAAAATTTTATTTGTGATAGGTATTTCCTTATTAAAATATAAGAAGCCAGGTGTAAAGTGCCTTGTGTAAGTAGTTAATAAATCATCTCTGAAAGCTGTATGTGGTCGTGTACACCTTTAAATCAGCACTCAAGTGGCAGAGGCAGGAGGATTTCTATGAGATTGAGGCCAACCTCGTCTACATAGAGATCCAGGAAAGTCAGGAATAAATGCACAGTGAGACTCTGTCTCAAAAAAAAAAAAAAGAAAGAAAAAATCTTTGAGTTTTATACTTTTTGTGTGCACATGTCTATATGTGGGCATTTTTTTACACTTTTTATTATATATTTAAATTAGAAACAAGCTTGCTTCCCATGTCAGTCCCAGCTCCCTATCCCTCCCCTCCACGCCCTATATGTGGGCATTCTTGTAGGTGCAGGAAAATATGGTGTGTGTGTGTAGGTCACAGAATGACCTCAGATGACCATTTTAAGGTGCCTTTGACTTTTGTTTGGCACATAGTTTCTCACGGCCAGGAATCTGTCATGTTGACCAGGCTGCTGGTCCAGTAGCTTCCAGGAATCCATATGTCTCTGCATCCACATCACTGCTGGAATTAGAGATGCACACCACTCCACCTTGCTTTTCACATGGATTCCGAGGATCCAAACTCAGGTCCTCATGCTTGCAAGGCAAGCGCTGTTACCAAATGAGCCACCTAGAGCCAAGAGGTTAAAGCACGGTATCTTCCTCAACTGCTTTTTTTTTCCTTTTTGAGACAAGGCCTCTTACTGAACCTGGAGCTTACTATTTCAGCTAAACTTCCTCGCGAGACCCCAGAAGTCTGCCTGTCTCATACCATCAGATATGCACTTCTATTCCTGGTTTTTAAATCAATGCTAGAGATTTGAACTCATACTCTCATGTATGTACAGCAAGTACTTTAACCACTAAGCCATCTCTCCAGTTCCTAAGCCTGAAGTTCTACTCTTAAATCTTTCCAATGACACTATGCATTTTCTTTGAATGTATTAATTTTGTTAGAAATCAGTCAATGTTTATATGAAATACATTTCTACATATATGTAAAATATGCATATCATTAATAAGAGTTAAGCTTTTATTTTTAGTATAAGTATAATCATTATAAGTGGCATGAGAAGTAACTCTTTTCTTATTTGTGTTTCATATTTTTCATAGAGTGAAATGCCAATAGCAAACTCTGAATATAGTTAATTTTTAAAATAAATATAATTAGGCCATACAATCAGAGTGATGGTTTCTACATTTTAATCTTTGGTAATCAATGTAACCCTTTCCTTCAAAGATATTTTCTTCCAATTAAATCACTTTTGAACTAGAAATAGTGTACCTGATATTAGGAATTTCATTCATGCTACTCAGGCACTGTCACTATAAACTTAATGATATACATTAACAGGAGATTTACTCATCACAGTCTGCAGTGTAGGAAATACGTTAACTCATAAAGCAACACAGGCATCAATACTAAGAAGAGTAGGACTTAAGTTTGAGAAGGTCCAACTGTAACAATCCTATGAACATTCAAATTAAACTTCAACAAGAAAATAAGGATTCTATTTGCATCCTTGCTTGAAAGTACTAATTTGCAAAAGCTTAAAAAGGAGTTTATATCTCGTGACAATGGGGTCCATGAAATGTCTTTCCTTAACAAGCAGGAGGCCTTTTAAGTGGTAGACACTAGTGAGCACTAACATAGGCTACTGATATTCAGTATTTCTGCTGCTAGCTTTTGTTCTTCATTTCTGTGTAAGGTTTGTGTTCACACGTGTATGACAGCATATGTGTAACATGACACATATGTGGGGGTCGGAGGGCAAACTTGGATGTTAGTTTTGCTGGTTCTTTTTCGTTTATTTTGTGTATGAGTGTTTTGCCTGTATGTTTGTTTGTACATCATGTGCATGTATGTTTGTGCTGCCCATGAAGATCAGAAGATGCCATCACATACCCTGGAATTAGAGTTAGGTTATAAACCACCATGTGGGTGCCGGGAATTCAAACCTCCTGTCCTCTGCAAGAGCAAGTGCTCTTAACTGCTGAGCCATCCTCTCCAGCCTATCCACTTTGTTTTACAAGAGTCTCACTTGCTGCCTGTGTACTCCTAACTAACTGGTCCACAAATTCCAGGGGATTCTGCTGTCTCTGTCTCATCTCCACCTCCCAACTCACCATAGGAGTCCCGGGATCACAAACACATACCACTATGTCTAGGTGTTATGGATGCCAGTGACTGAAGTCAAGTCACTAGGCTTGTACAACAAGCACATTTATTCACCAACCTATCTCCTATCCATTTTTTGTTTTAACAGGGTCTCACTGTGTTACCTAGATTGACCCTGATACCACCTGCAATTCAGGCTAGCCTCAAACTTATGATCCTCCTGAGTTCTGGGATTACAGGCCTGCACCTCCAGTCCCAACTCTGTTCTACAATTTCATCACAGAAAAACAAATCTGATTTAAACTATAATGTTTGGATATTTAACATGTAATCTAAGAGACTCAGAATTCTCAAAAGAGAAAATGAGAAGTCTTATCTCTAGAAATACTAGTTTAAAGGACAGGAGAAACAAAAACAAAACAAAGTAAACTTTGGTGATTTCTGTAAAGGTTCTCTGGTATGATCCTAGTTCCAGCTCCCATTAAAAGCCACCCCCTAAGATAGAGCCATCCTCTGGGTAACCTCAGAAGTTTCCCATGGGAAGAAGGCCGAAGTGGCTACCACGGTGCAGACATCAGGCTCACCTGACCACGATGCCTGTGGTTTTTATGCTGCATCAGCAGGGGAAGAGTGTGCCGAGTGCCCCACAACTGAGGGAGGGCTGCTGAGGACTGCCTCAGGGGTGCATTTGGGGCTCCTTTCCTCCTGCGGTCCATGTAGAAGGAGTGCTTCAGAGGTGACAAAGAACAGGAAAACAAAAATTCACACAAAGGAAAAGTGCCCTCACTAAGACATATCACATACATAATTCTAAATGCAAGTATTAAAATAAGCCTGCAAATTGGCCAGCTGACGTACAGGGTACCAAAGGTGAGAACAAACATCCTGGGAAGACGGACTGGAGAGAGGCTGACTGTGGACCAGATCCTGATGTTTAAGGGGGAAAGATGTTGCTACCAGCTGTGTGTCCTCCTAGGCTGCTGATGCAAATTAAATAATGGCCAGATAGGGAAGAGAAATTGTGAATGTATGCCAATTTTATAGCACAAATTGTTTGTGCTAAATTGTTTTCCTTTTCTCTTCAGAAAAAATACATAAACATGCCAAAGGTATCAAAAAAGTAATCATTTACTGCACATTGCTCACAATACTAAAGAATTGCTTTCAAATGAAGCTGTCAAAATTAGTCAGAAGAGGCAGACGACCCAGTGTAGACATGGACCTGATTTTCTTGTCACTTACAGAAGAAACAAGAATCCACATCCTAAGAACTCACCCTTTCTACTTCATGGCATTTTTTCAAGGCATCCCATATCTCCCGAGGCGCTGATACGCTGAAATGCATTCTGTCTCAAACCATATGCACTGCATTTCATTTAGATTTTCCATGGCAGATGTTCCTTCCTGAAATGGAAACTTGAAAAAATATAAGGCAAGAAGCAATAAAACAGAACCCCCAAATCACATTTAAGTATATTTATTTTAAAGCTTTGGGTTCAAATCACTATAGGAAAAAGTCACCTTTCCTTTTCCAACTATGCCCACAAGTATTATGATGACAATAGTTAGTTATCAGAAAGTATAGTAAGGCATGTGATATTTTTAACTATTTATTAACTTATGTTGTATGTTTATATATGTGTACGCACAGACGGCACAGCACGTTTGGAGGTCAGAGGACAACTTGTGGGAGTCAGTGCTTTCCTTCCATTTTCTGAGACTTAAAGATCTACTGTGGTCCTGGCAGCAAGCATGTCCCCCACTGAGTCATCTCTACAGCGCTCCTTAGGGGTTTTAAACTACAAAGTTTTACTTATTCAGCTCCACTGGGGTGTTCATCACTTTGTACAGGACAAACTCCTGTTTTAAGCATTGAAGATCTTATTTTAATTACTTAAAAACAATACTCCTATGAATATTTCCCATCTTCTTTTCACTTTCTGCTATTTAACATTTCCTTGCTGACTTAAGGTCACTGTTACAAAGATCCAATACTGTTATCATATTTCTTAGTAATGTTGTCAGTTTCTCAATCTCCCTCCTATGCGTATATGCAATGTCACTTTATTTGCTCAAGCATCTAAGCTTAAGAGCACCTGGTGTTCATAGCAGGTCTGTTACTTCGCTAGTTCCCTGTGTTGCATGCTATTAAAACCAAGTAACATTAAACAAGGTGATGGCATACCTATTATCTCAGCACCTGGAAGACTGACGCAGGAGAATTTTGAGTTTAAAACCAGCCTGAAGTACATAGCCAGACCTTGTCTTTAAAAAGAAGAAAGAATCCCAGTACTCGGGAGGCAGAGGCAGGCAGATCTCTGTGAGTTCGAGACCAACCTGGTCTTCAGAGCGAGTTCCAGGTCAGCCTCCAAAACAATACAGAGAAACCCTGTCGAAGGAAGGAAGGAAGGAAGGAAGGAAGGAAGGAAGGAAGGAAGGAAGGAAGGAAGGAAGGAAGGAAGGAAGGACGGAGGGAGGGAGGGAGAGAGGGAGGGAGGGAGAGAGGGAGGGAGAGAGGGAGGGAGAGAGGGAGGGACGGAGAAAACGATCCCTGAATTTGTTACAAGTATTTGTTAGTTCAAGATTAAATATAAGAGGAATGTAAGATATAAAGTACTTAGTTAGCTTCAATGTAGGGCACTGGACTTTGGTCATCGGTTGAAACAGACTTATGTTAAACAAGTTTGTGTGATTTCAGAAAAGATGGGAAAGGTATATTTATAAAAACATTTTTCAGGGGCCAGAGAGATGGCTAAGTGGTTAAGAGCACTAGCCTCTCTTCCAGAGGTCCTGAGTTCAATTCACAGCATCTGTAATAAGATCTGGTACCCTTCTTCTTGCCTTCAGGCACACATGCAGGCAGAACACTATACATAATAAATCTTTTTTTTAAAAAAACACATTTTCACTCTCTCTTCCTCTTCTCCCCCTCCCTTCTTCCCAGCTCCCACTCCCCCCCCACCTCATGGGGGAACAGGAAGGTTGAGTATGGGGGAGAATAGGGGGAGAACAGGATGAGAAATACCATAATAGAGGGAGTCATAGGTTAGAAGAAAGATCTGGCACCAGTGAGACCTCTCGTGATCGAAAGGGATGGCACCAACTGGCAAGCTAAGCAATAGTGGAGAGACTACCTTAAATGCCCATTCCTGATAATGAACTTGACATCTACCCTATACGCTATCCTAGAACCTTCATCCAGTGACTGATGGAAGCAGAGGCAAACACCCACAGTTAAACACTGAGCTGAACCCATGGAACCCAGTGACAGAGAGAGAAGAGCGATGAGCAAATTGGCAAAGAATGGGCTGGCAAAACCAGCAGAGACAGCTGAACTGAACAAGGGGGGAGCTCTTGGACTCCAGACCAACAACTGGGAGGCCAGCATGGAATTGATCCAGACCCCCTGAGTGTGAGAGTCAGTGAGGAGGCTTGGGCAACCTATGGGGCCCTGGGTAGTAGATCAGTATTTATCCCTGGCATACAAACGGACTTTGCATGTTTATAACATGAAGAGGGATGCTCTCTCAGCTTGGACTCTTAGGGGAGTGCCTGGACTCTGCCCTGAGCGAAATGACAGACTCTGGATATCACCTATGTGGAAGGAAGTGGGGATAGGGTGGGAGGCTGGGGGGGGATGGTGGGGTGCAGGAGAAGGGGAAAGAGAGGGAACTGGGATTGACATGTGAAACAAACTATTTAAAATTAAAGTAATAAAAAAAGTTTTAAAAAACCACATTTTCAATCTTGGATCATTTTTAGGGTCACTTTCTATTATCAGTTCAATTGTTAGAATTTATTAAAAGTCTAAAAATTCCCAGTGCTCAGGAAGTAAAGGCAGGATGTCAAGTGTAAGGCCTATCACCCCCCCACCCAAAAAAAGTCTAAAAATTTACTATCTCTGCATATTTATTTCCTGATGACTGTGTCTTCACAAAAAAGTTACTTTAGCTCAAAATTTTTACCATAAAAAACTACTAAAGAAGCATTTGTAACCCTCTGTAATTCTAAGATGCAAGCAATCTGTTAAATGTGAAATGTGAGCAGCATTTCACTCATTCACTTTACTCTCCTGTGCTTTGAAGATACATGCTAGCTGCCTGTTTGTTTAAATCACTGGACTGAAATTTTATACTCTGATTGTTAACTGTACTTCTAGTCCCTGCCTTTACCTCCCAGGTAGTATTTTTTTGTTTTATCTGGAAACCTATGGGTTTTTATGACCCTCTGCTGTAGTCTCTTCTAATGTTGACACCTGTGGTGTGGTGGGAAGGATGCTGACCACAGTACCAGTCACTGTGTGACCAAGGATGGTCCAAGTATCCACTTCTAAGCCTCAATTACTTTTCTGTAAAACACAGACACCTGAGTGTGTCCTATGTGAACACAAACAATAGACTATCCATCTCTCTAGTCCCCATGTTCTTGACAAAATTTTTGTCATCATCATAGACTTGATACATTCTCCAATTCCCTCTCACTTTGATTACAACTATTTTGCTACACATACACTTAAATTAATAAAGTGAAATATATCATTGTTAGTCACACTTCATCTTAAACACTTTTAGGGCAACTGAATTTAATTAGTTCATGTTATACTTGTTCATGTAAATAACACACTGAGTCCTATTAATAAGCACTACTGGTGTATGTCAATAAATTTTTTAATTATTAGAGTTGAGTATGCTGTAGCTCAGTTGGCAGTGTTGGCCTACTGTAAATGAACCCTGGATTCAATGTGCAGCACCACAGAAAACTGGGTATGGAGGGACAAACCCGTAGTTCCTGCACTCAGAAGGTAGACAGGAGGATCAGAGGTTCAAGATCATCCTCCCTACACAGTGAGTTTGAAACCAGCCTTCGTTACTTACTGGAGCCTGTCTTAAAAAGCTAAAAAAAGAGATGCTCTAAGTACTAAAGAGAGGTGTAGTCAAAGTTAGAAAAAGTGTCTCAATAACACAGAAATATCAGGATAGAAAACCCAAAAAGGGCAGGCAGTGGTGGTACAAGCCTTTTATCCCAGTACTGGGAAGGCAGAGGCAAGAGGATTTTGAGTTAGAGGCCAGTCTGGTCTACAGAGCGAGAGATGCACAGAGAAACCTCAAGAAAAACAAAACAAAACAAAAAACCCGAAAAATCCAACAAAACAACACTGACCTAAAAAGAATTTAAAAATAAAATTTTTAAATATGCCCCCTTGCTCCTTTAAAAAATAAACAAACACTTCCTCTCCAAACATGAAGAACATTCTGTAAACTAAACAGACCCCGCCTGCATTTCCTTTAAGTATCGGGTTTTTTTTCTATATTTAGCTCTTTGGTCCCTTTGAACTGTTGTGTATGCAGTGTAAGATAGGAATGCCATTTAATTTTTCAACATAAATGCCTGAAATTTTATCTTTAATTTTAAAAGTACTTCTAGCTACATACCAAGTTTCCAAATATATCTGAATCAATTTGCAGGCCTTCTGTTCTGTTCTATGAACCTGTAATTTTAATCAAAACTAAGTATCATGTCTATTAGGCCACTATTACAGAAGGGATGATAAAAAAGAAAATATAGGACAAGTATTTAGCCAAACAATTTTAGAAATGTCACAGAAAATACACAGAAAGAACTCTGAGCTATTCTGAAGTAAGATGATATAATAGAGAATTAAAGAGAAGTCATAAATTATAAAGGAGACACATTTGGGATACAAACTAAATTTCTAAAGTTTACTTAAGACAGGATCTCATTATGCAACTCTGATCTACCTCCCTAATTCAGAATGAAATCAACTATTATTATTGAGAGCAAAAGCTCAGCAAAATGACCAACCTAACAGAAAGAGGCATGACTCTGGCATCAGATTTAAAAGGTAACAGTCACGAAGAGAAATAAAATCGTAGTTTACCAGGCTTCTAACCCCAAATACCTCCAAATAAATAGTGCTAGAGAAGAACAATCTATCTAACTCTATGAGTTCTCAAGACAAAAGCAAAATCAGTGAATCAGAAAAATAATCAAAGAAAGTAACTTGGAGAAGAGATTATCATTGCCCGATGCCAGCAGAAGCAAAAACTGCCACATTATGTATTGCCCATATATGCAAAATATACGCTTCTAGAAAATATGACAACAGAAGCAAAGGAATGAGTTCCAAGTTCACTAGGGTTACCGCATGAGTATGTAACTATCTCAATTAGCATATTATAAACTTTAACATAGAGCAGAGCATCGTCAAAGTGAAGAAGGATATAATCAAATAATATACCCCAATGAGACAACAATATCCCTGATATACCACAATCTAAGATTAGGGTACACAGACCAGTCAGTTAACAAAAGCAGCCATATTCTGCTTCCAATCCTATACTAAAGCAGCTATCAAAATGGACTGCAGAACGGTAGCCATGCTTACAGTGAGGCAGAGTGAATTACTTGCATTACATTAACAGAAGATCTCCTAGTACATATAGCCAACTAAACAAACAACAAGACAACAATGCAAACACACTAAAGCATAAATTCGAAACCTGTGATGTCCTGTACAGGAATGACCCTAACAGACTCATGTATTTGAATGATTGGTCCCCAGGTGGTGGGACTAGGAAAACAATTAGGTGTGGCCTTGTAAGAGGAGGTGTGACACTGGAATCTGGCTTTAAGGTTTCAAAGTCCACGCCATTCCCAGTTAGCTTTCTCTGCCTTGTGCTTGTGAATCCAGACATAAACTTTCAGCTGCTGCTCCAGCACCATGCCTGCCTGTCTGCCTGCTGCCATGTTCCCTGTCAGGATGGTTATGAATTCTAACCCTCTGGAACCATGAACCCATAACAAACATTTGTTTTCTGTTATGTTTTATAAGTTACCTTGGACATGGTGATTTGTCATGGTAACTAGAGAAAATGCAAATAAGGAGAAAATGCAAATAAGGCCAAAGAATCAAACATGTATCTTTCACATACACTATCTAATTCAGGAGGCCAAAGTATATGAAGGAGGGTTCTTTAAATAATTTCAGAACTAGAGTTATAAGTCAGTGACATAACACTTGTCTAGCATGCATGAGGCCCTGGGTTCAACCAACAGCCTGCTGTGCCCAGTTAACAGATAGGGAGCAAGAATGAAATAAGGCATCTAGGGAATACTACTCAGTGATTAGCAAAATCCTTACATCGGAGGCCCAGGAGGAACTTTTTAACAGGCCCATGGTCCTTATAAGAAACCCTGACCAATGACAGCATCAGAGAGACAACCAGAGCACCTCAAGCACAAAGCACCATGTGTGAAATATCCAAACAGATCTCAAATATATTAATCTCACTATCGATGTTACACGAATTAGGAATGACAATGAACACACAGTGATATCAAGAGACAGCAGTCACCCAATCTAAAGTATGGGAAAGTCTACAAAACAGAACAAAAGGCATTTCTTATAGAAAGAGAGATTACTGCAACATATTAAAAGACCACAAACCCATCAAATGTAAAGCATCAGCCTTAACTAGATTTAGATTAAAATAAACCAATTAAGCAAAAAATTTGGACAGTGGGAGAGAAATATAAATGTGGACAGGTATTAGATATGAAGTTAATTTTGTGTGTCTTAAAGATGCATACAAAGTCTTTACAGGTAAAGTATCTGGAACTTGTTAAAATTCTCTAACAGGATGGGTTAGAGCCTGGAGAGATAGATAGCTCAGCAGTTTAGAGCACTTGCTGCTCTTCCAGACGACCCAGGTTCAAGTCTTAACATCCTGTGGCAGCTCACAAATGTCTGTAACTCTAGTTCCAAGGAATCTAATGCCCTCATCTGGTCCATAGGGAAACAGGCATGCAAGTAGCACATAGACACACATGCAGGCAAAAACATTCATCACATAATTTTCCCCCAGAAAACTAAAAACAAAAAACTCCAAACTCCAAGAGCAATGGCACAGAAAAGACACATAAAGAACCTAAAGAGATTGTCTCCATACCTGAAACATTCCATAGGATTTTCTAAATTCTCTTCATTTACATATGTCCCCACAGAGAACCAAAGGACCAAACAGACATAATTAAAAGTTAATCCAAGAGTAAAAAAATAGAGAATTTAGGGGTTCAGGAAAAAGAAGGGCCTAATTTAACTAACTACTCAAGCTTGTGCAAGCCATTCAACCTCTCAAATCTGTTTTCCTTGCTAAATAAGACTACCTCTCAGTCAAAAAGATTATGGAAATTTTAAATTATAGTAAAATACTCTAATTTCATTCACTAATTCAAAAACCAATAAGTATCCATTTATGTACACATAATATAAACTAGTATTTCTGTAATTAAAATTACATTGAAATGAGCAACAAAATTCAAGTTTAGTATAGTTTAAACTTACCATAAGGGCTAAAAAAGCCATTCATTTTAAGGGAAGCTTCATAATTAGTAACAAGTTCCTGGATTATTGAAACCTGTCAAAGAAACATATATTTTTAATTTAACAATGTTTCACTGACGGTATTTTTATTTGGGCTAATTTAACTGGAACAACAACTTATTTTTATTTTATGATGCGTGTGTCAGTCTGTGTGTATGCAATTTGTGTGCAGGTGCTTATGAAGGCCGAGAGAGGGCACCCAGTGCTCTGAAACTGAAACTAGATGTGTTTCTTGAGGTCCCTGACATGTATGCTGGGAGTCAAACTCGGGTCCTTAGAAAGAACAGCAAGTGCTCTCAACCACTAAACCATCTCTCTAGCCCTAAAACAATACATTTCAAATACTATACTATCTTCTCCTACCTCCCAATCTGAACATTTTAGAGGAGCAAGAAAAAGAAAATGTACCACTGTGTTTATTAATGGTTTTAGGAAGAAAAAAGTAAAAACAGCTTAATAAACTCTCATCTCAAGAAGTCTGTTTTTTTTTTTTTTTTTAGTTTGTCTTTGGTGCCATTACCCTTCCCCCAATGCCAGAGATGAGGATCAAATGCACCTTGGCCCTTCATAGTGAACCCAGGGTCTTCAAAGCACTCTACCAGTGAGCTAGAGCCCCAGCCCCAGAATTCTGACATCTGTGAAGGACAACTTACTACATTTACATAATTTCTGAACAATTAAGTTGGCTTTTGTCTCCCTGTTGTGTTCTGTAGAACTATAAAGCACTATATAAATATTTAGATCTTATAAAATGTCACTCCTTACAAAAAATTAAGTGAAATGATTCCAAGTTTAAAAGATACACATTAAAAATGATGGCTCTACAGCACAGTGGGGTAATAGCAGTTCCTAACAATTTGTATTTTTTCTAAAACTACAAGACAGGAGTTCCAAATTCCCTAACAGATCATTTACTTAAGGAGCCAGAGATGTTAGTTACCCTATTCAATCAATTTTTTTTTAGTAATTTATTTTGGTTTTATGAGCACTGGTGTTTGCCTGCATGTATGCCTGTGTGAGGGTGTCAGATCCCCTGGAACTTGAGTCACAGACACGCATGAGCTGCCATGTGGGTACTGGGGATTGAACCCTGGTTTTTTGGAGGAGCAATCAGTGCTCTAACTGCGAAACCATCACTCCAGCCCTCAGCCCCCAAGTTTTTATATTTATATGCTTCTTAATTTTTGTTTATTTATTTATTATGTATACAGTGTTCTATCTGCATGTATGCCTTGCAGGCCAGTAGTGGGAACCAGATCTCATTACAGATGGTTGTGAGCAACCATGTGGTTGAACTCAGGACCTCTGGAAGTGCTCTTAACCTCTGAGCCATCTCTCCAGGCCCCCAGCTCTCAATTTTATCGCCATCTATTTTTCAGAAAAAGACACTGAAGATTAAGTAAACTCATCAGGCTAGGTGAGGTGTCTTTAATCTCAGCACTTAAGAGGCAGAGACAGGAAGAAGATTTCTGTTTCAGGTCAGCCTTGTTAATATATTGAGTTCTAGACTAGCCAGGGCTATTTAGTGAGACCCTTCCTCAGACACAATAGAGACAGGTAGGTAGGTAGGTAGGTAGATAGGTAGGTAGGTAGGTAGGCAGGTAGGTAGGTTGGGGATGGGGGTGGGTGGGTGGGTAGGTAGGTAAACAAACTCATGATCTGGAAATTAATGTAATTGTTTTTCAAAGGAACAGTTCTGAAGGTGGAATCCATAGATCATTAACTCATTAACATCATCAAGACTAGCCAGGAACCCTAGAGACAAACATTTTTTAAAATATCTATTTTAGCAGGGCGTTGGTGGCGCACACCTTTAATCCCAGCATTAAGGAGGCAGAGGCAGACAGATCTCCATGAGTTTGAGACCAGCCTGGTCTACAAGATCTTGTTCCAGGACAGCCTCCAAAGCCACAGAGAAACATTGTCTCAAAAAACCAAAAAAAAAAATCTATTTTATGTAAAAGTATTTTGTCTGAGTCAGGCATGGTGGATCACACCTTTAATCCCAGTACTTGGGAAGCAGAGGCAAGTGGATCTCTTGAATTTGAGGCCAACCTGATCTACAGAGCTAATTCCAGGACAGTCAAGGCGATAAAGAAACCCTGTTTCTAAAACAAAAAAGGATGGGGCTTTTGATTGCCTGTATGTATGTGCACCAAGTGACTGTCTGGTGCCCAGAGACCAGAAAAAAAGCACTGATTCCCTTGAAGGAACCAAACCCAAGTCTTCTCTAAGAGCAGGCAGTGAGCCATCTCTCCAGCCCCCGAGACTCACAGTTTTAGGCAATCCAGACAGAATCTGAAACATTGGTTGTCTATAATCTTTGGTTACAAGCCCTCTAGTTAATAACACATAGATGAGTTTGAAAGCCACAGATAAAACAAAATTAAAGGTAGCAGACATCTTTTAATGCAACATAACCCTCCCACTAATCTTAGAATATTTGCAACTTAAAACTCTTTTCAGGCTTAGAAATTTAGTATTCAAGTAGTTTTAATTAGGTGAAATTATTTTTTTCCATTAACCTACACTGCCATCTAGTGACAGTTTGTAAGCACTCCAACTAGCAGTTTTTTAAATTTTCAGGGTGTGTACTGGTATTCCCGTGTGTGCGCATGCGTGCATGTGGAGCAACAGGGAAGCCTGCAAAAGTCTCCTCTTCTTTTCTCATGTGTGTCCTGGGAATCTCACTCAGGTCATCAGCACCATTACCTGCTGAGCCATCTTCCCAGCCCTCAAACACAGGTTTTAAATGGGGTTTACAGCTCTGGACTAAAACATACTTTCTGGACCAATTTTAAATAATCAAAAATACAACAAACTAGCTGGGTGTGGTGGAGCAGGCCTTTAATCTGAGCACTTAGTAAGCAGAGGCAGAAGGATCTCTGTAAATTCAAGGTCAACTTGGTCTACATAGTCAGTTCTAGGACAGTCAGGACTACATACTGAGAGTGCATCAAAACAACCTAACTAAAATAACAATAATAAATACAACAAAACATCCACTGAAATTACCCATAATCCTTCATAAAAGAGTATAGGCACTGCTGAATAAAATAGTTCCTAGTTTCAGAACTTTAAAAGGAACTTTTAAAAAATCAAAAGAAGAGAAATTTCACACAAAATCTAAATAAAAAGTCTTAACACTGGAGGTTGAGGAGCCATGAGATGACTCTATGGATAAAGCATTTGCTCAAGAAGAATAAAGACCAGAGTTTGGATCCTCGGCACCCATGTAAATGCCTAAAAGGCAGCAGTAGTTGTCTGTGATTCCACTTTGAGAGGCAGAAACAGGGATGCCTGGAGCAAGCTAGCTAGCTAGACTAGCAGTAATGGGCCAGCACGAGGTTCAGCTAACAAAGACATCCTATATCAATTTCTAGCCTCCCAACGTACACGTGCACATACATACACACATAGACATAACACAAACAAGGAACTGGGCTCCTTAGGCACAGTTCTAAAGTATTAAAAAGTTATCTCACAGTTACCTCCAATCTACTAATTAGGCAAATAATGGAATTTCGTCCAATTAACTTTCAAGAAATTTTCTATCAAAAATGACAATTTGGGGCTGGCAAGACAGCTCATGGGACAGAATTTGCTTCACAAGCATAATGACCTGAGCTCAATCCTGGAACTCATGGTGAAAAGAAATCCAACTCCCAAAAGTTGTCCTTTGACCTTCACAAGAGTGTCCTGGCATGTGCACACCTGTACTCGCATTTTAAATACACAAAAATATTTTTACATTTAGGTTTTTCTGAGTTACAGGAACCCATTTCATTTCTTTTTACTTCTGTAACTAGTAGGTAATATGGAATATAGGAAATCAATTTGTAATGTCCGTTCTTCGTTGGTTACATACTGGAAGTGAACTGTGTATGTGTGCGGTGTGTGTTGTGTGTGTGGTATGTGCACCTGAGCACACAGGTGCACACGCACAGCGCCAGGACAAGATAGCTGGTATCTTCTTCTATAACTCTCTGTCTTATTGCCTTTAGACAGGGTCTCTCACAGTGAACCAGAAGCTCACCAACTGAGCTCCACTGTGGAACTCAGAGGATTATGGGAAAGTACAGCCATGCCTGGCTTTTTAAGTAGGTTCTGGGATTCAAACTCAGATCCTCTAGTTTAATTCCTAACTGACGTCACTATTGGGAGACAGCAGCAATTTTAGGATGACCTATGTGGGAGGAAAGTTAGGTCATTGGCAAGGCATGTCTTTCAGAGTATACTGATATTCCAAGCCCTTTCCTTTCCCTTTTTAATTACTGCCTACCACAATATGATCAAGTCTGTTCCACTACACACTCCCCTCACCAAGATGTTCATCTCTGCTACAGGACCAACACAACAGAGCCAAGAAACCACAGACCAAACCCCTAAACTGTGAACCCAAATAAACCTTTCCTGATCTGAAGTAATTTATTGCTGATATTTTCTCACAGTGATAGAAACTAACACAATGTCTTACATTTTTCACAAACTTTCAACCTTCCAAATTCCACTCCAATCAGATGTTCTAACCACTGATCTTATTTCCAACATTTTAGTACCTACAAGTATTACTTAAAATAAAAATATGGGTCAAACCTAAATAAACTGAGAAAGATTTGATGAAAATCTTAATATCCAACAGCGCCTTTCAAAAATTGACTATAGGTACAGTTAGCGAGAGGTACTAATACAAAAATTGCCTATAAAAACAACTGAGCATAACATTTTAGACCCTAATAAAGTAAGAAACAATACTTGGGAATGAAAGTATAACTTTCTCTTGATTAACCCTCTCCCCATTTTTACCAGGGAGAGGGCTCACTATGTTGCACAAGTTAAGTCTCAGATCCTAAGCTGAAGTGATCCCCTGCCTTGTCTCCCAAGCAGCAAGAACTCAAGAGTGTGCTACAACACCTGGTTTTCCTATCAAGTCCTATTTATCTATTTATCTTTCAAATTTGTAACCAAGACAAGTACAAAGGTAGTTTCTTTACCATACTTAAATTATACAGATATGCAGATGTTAAAGGGAGGGTGAATGTGTGTCATGTGTTTGGGACAGGATCTTTCACTGAAACCTGAGCCTAGTTACTAAAGCAAGGCTAGGTGGCCAGTGAGCCCCAGGGACCTCCATGTCACCAGCACTGGACTACAAGTATATCCCCACTTTTTACAGGGATACTTGGCAGGAAGTTTCATAATGACTGAGATATCATCCCAACTCTTAAAACTATTGTACCCGATTAGGACTTAACCTATTAATTAAAACTAGTCCCTCATACTCCACTGACCTAATGGCATTGCCTCCCCACCCCCCACTCCCATCCCACCTCATCCCCATAAAGCCATCATACCACACTGAAATGGAATCTTTAAAGATTTATTTTTTATCATACATACAGTGTTCTGCCTCATGTATATCTGTATGTCATAAGAGGACACCAGATCTCATTATAGATGGTTGTGAGCCACCATGTGGTTGCTGGGAACTGAAACCTGGTCCTCTGGAAGAGCAGCAAGTGTCCTTAACCTCTGAGCCATCTCTCCAGCTGCACCTCAGGGAATTTTACTGTTTTCAACTATCCATGCTAAGCTAACTCTAAAATATGATAACTGTAAGAAAAAACAAAACAAAGAAACAAAAAGCCTAGAACTCACCAGGAAATTCAAGCTGGCATCAAACTCATTACAATTATCCTGCTCAGCCTCTTAAGTGTTAGGATTACAAACTAGAAGTATGTTCTATCACATCCAACTATGTATCTCTTTTATCTACCTATTTATGTATTTTGCTTTGTTTGAGACAGGGAAAATTGTGTAGCCCTGGATAACCTGGAACTCTCTCTACAGACCAGGTTGGACTCAAACTCAGAGATCTGCCTGCCTCTGCCTCCCAAATGCTATAATTAAAGGTGTGTGCCACCACTGCTTGGCATATCTCAGTGTTTTTAAAATGCTTTTCCTTGCTATAAACTTCATAGCACTTTGATATCACTTATACTATATGCATATAAGCATAAGTATACTTCTGATATACAGTATTGGTTTATTAAATAAAAAGACAAATCTACCTTGGAAAGAAACAAAACAAAACAAAAAAAGACAAACATTGGTACAATAGAGAAAATAATTTTTGTTTGTTTGTTTGTTTGTTTCTCTGTGGCTTTGGAGGTTGTCCTGGAACTAGTTCTTGTAGACCAGGCTGGTCTCGAACTCACAGAGATCCACCTGCCTCTGCCTCCCAAATGTTGGAATTAAAGGCATGTGCCACCCCCACCCAGCTAATAGAGAAAATAATTAAATCATAGCATAGTTCATGGCAATCTTCCTGCAATAATAACAAAACTGATTAAAAACCAAACTTACCTTTTCTGTATTAGAATACAAAGATTTCAAAGTAGTGAACAGGGGTGGACATCCATTGCTGAAGTTTGGTCTCAGGAACTTATCCATGAGTTCTCTAAATTTTTTACCTAGAGACAAAAGCAAACTTTGGTTGATGGAATCAATTCTTAAATAGCTGAACAGATAAAGCTCCTTCAGAACAACTATTCTGCAACCAAAGTCAGCACTACCTTGTCATATAACAAGCACAACAGCAATGTTTCAGGTGGTATTTCCCCTAATTTCCACTCAAAGAATCTTCAAGGAATAACTTCAGAGATAGGTCAATGAAAAGATTATGCAGTTTTAGACAATTTACTAACCACCCCGGTTATAATCATAAGAATAGGTATTCTTCCTACTCTCTCCTTGACAGACTTGTTCTAACCCCTGAAGACAACTGATAACAACATTTCCACATATACCATCACTGGCACTACCTTCAAGAAGTAGGCGAACTATCTTCTTAAGCACTAAAGTGGTATTGACAATTTCAACATTGGTTCCTTCCACAATCATGTATCAGGTACTCTACTATACCCCAACATGATTTCAGATACCAGAAAAGAGGATAGAGATGTAGCTCAATTAGTAAGAGCTTCCCGGATATGCACAAAGGCCCGAAATTATATCCCCAGCACCACAGTAAACAAGATGTAGTAGCAAACACTTCTAATCCCAGCACTAGGGAGATGAAGGACAAAGAATCAGGTACTCAAAGTCATCCTTAACAACATAATCAGTTGGAGACCAGAATGGGATGATATGTCAGCTCCATCAAGAAGAGAAGGAGAAGGGGAGGGGTGAACAGAAGAAGAGGAAGAAGATGAGAGGGAGAAAAAAGAAGAGAGAGGAGGAAGAAAATACTGAAAGAAATCTACTTTTAAACATGGGGTCAGCAAGATGACTCAATAGGTAAAGGTGCATGGGCCAAGCCTGATGACCCAAGTTCAATCCTAGAACACACATGGAAGGAGAGAACTCCACAAGTTGTTCTGTGGCCTACACACACACACAGTATGGCATACGCACACAGACAACCCCATTGCCATCCCTATCCAACTCAAACACACGTACAAGTGAATTTTAAAAACTTTTTTTACAAGGTATCATGTACCAGCATATTATTTAAATGTTTTCCTGGGTTTCTTTATGAGTAGCAAAATTGTATAATAAAGCCCAGCAATCCCCAACCAACAATGCAGACTGGTTATCTAGTTGAGCAGACTACACTAGGTAAAACGCACATAAGCATTATCACTGAACATCATGAAAATGATTTCAGATTTCTAATCTCTTATGAAATCCCACCCACTCATCTTTTGAAAGCTACAAAGTAACACTTACATCTAGACCAGCAATGTCCTTAACACCAAAAGTAGTTTCAAAGATCCTATTTTCCCAGTACGTCCTCATTAAGAGGCTGTTGCTAAAAGAATGTCTGCTTCTACTTTGTGTGTGCCCTTGAACAAATAACCTATGTGCTAAGCCCAGTTTCTTCATGTAAACCGAGACTACATCAACTGGTATCAAGAGCATTACGGCACAGCTCAAACAAGTGGAGAGTAGTAAACGGTATCTGGGGTCTCTTAGTCACTATAAATACTGTCATTCCTGTCATCTGACAGCTATATGCATCTACAGCTAACATTCTGCTTCAGCACGAGTCCAGGAACAATGGAACCATGGACTAAACAAAGAAAAATAGACCTTTCCCCTTTGCAGCTGTTCATCTCAGGTATTTCTGTCATAGCAAACAACAACAACAAAAAACTAATACTGAGGATTTCAGAGGAATGGTGCTTTTTTAACCAACACTGAAGGACACAAAGGGCTCACAGCTCTTTCCTTGAAATATATACCCTACAAAGAGAAAACCTGAAAATATTACCACATAAATCACAATATCTCATCTGTAATTTGTCAGTTCTAAGAAATTTGTTTTGTTTTGTTTTGTTTTTCGAGACAGGGTTTCTCTGCATTGTTTTGGAGGCTGTCCTGGAACTAGCTCTGTAGACCAGGCTGGCCTCGAACTCACAGAGATCCACCTGCCTCTGCCTCATGAGTGCTGGGATTAAAGGTGTGCACCACCAACACCCAGAAATTCTTAGAAATTTTATCTTCTAAATATAACTGCCTTTTTTTATGAGACGGGTTTCTCTGTATTGTTTTGGAGGCTATCGGTCCGAAAATCTTTTTATACATATAGCTTACAATATTTAAAACTACTACTGAACTATATATTGAAGCATGGTTCTTATTTATATAGTAAAATTCATAACTGATCACTTTTTATATTCTAAAAATTGCACTTATTCTTTATAAATTGATTCCTAAAATCATATTACATTAGTGATCAATGTTCCCTACAATGTCTTGGATGAGAGAACTGCAATTTTACAGAGATGTATGAATCAGAATTTGGAAACCTTCAGGTATTAAGGAAACAACTGTCCACTGATGCTATTTGACAGCTTCCTCTTGTGCCCAGTTCTCTCTTCCATGCATACCTTTGGTTTCATATTATCTGACTGGTCAGTTTACTGGAGGGTATCAAATAATTTACCAAAATATAGGAAGACTAGAGACATACTCACCAACAGAAGCCAAGAGAGTCAAAGCACACGCTGGAGTAAACCATAATGAAAGCACCCTCAGCACAGTGAAAAGACTGTATCATGCTCCCTATTCTTTCTTCATTCTAGCAACAACACTTCATACACTGTAACATCATTTTACAGCCTCAACACAGTTTCATTTAAGAAGAAATGGCATTTCTAAGTCCCTTTACACTGGGATTAACCATTGATTGGTAGTGACCAAAGGCATTCCAGTGGACTTGATGACAAATTGGCTTGCAATAAAACTGACCACTTTTATTCATAAGACACACACACACACACACACACACACACACACACACAAGAACAGGAAGAAAAAATTTAAAACATAACTGGTACCCATTAATTTCAAAAGAACTATTAACATTACTAAAGACATCCTAATATTACCTGGGACAAGATTCAAAGGCAATCTTCTTGGTGAAACTGCTCTGGGATGCTGCCTACTAATTTCTTTGCAAATCGGAAGCCTCTCATCTAAAGAACCTAGTGTCAGAAAATATGTGTGAGAGTATAGTGTCATAACTACTATCCCAAACAGTAATACCCTTTAACACAAAAATTACATCATCAGAATCAAATTTTGCCAAAAATTACATTTAAAACTGTAGTGGTAAAAATGCTATAATCAGGAAACCATCCTTTGTGTATCATCATCGTGTGTGTGTGTGTGTGTGTGTGTGTGTATGTGTTCAGCCCTTGAATTCATAGAGATCCACCTGCCTCTGTCTTTCCGAATGCTAGGATTACAGCCATGTGCCATATCTTAAAATCATCCTTTTAAACCATATCTCTAGGGGGAACCCAGCAGTCCTTTCTTCACTGGATTCTACAAACTTACATCAAGTTAGACAAAGATGCATTTCTCTTCTATCCTTTAGCTCTCAAATCATGAAAAAGAGAATCATTTTATAACATATTGCTTATAATATATGTTATATAAATACTCTAAACTAATGGAGCCTCCCCTAAGAGTCTACAAAACCTATTAAACTTGAATAGCAGTTTTAGGATTGTGGCTATAAGTGTTTTAACTTAAAAATGAACTATATTTCTTAACTACTTTGACACTTGAAATCTTCAATGAAACTAAAAAAAAAAGTATAAGAAGTTTGGTCCAGCCCTTAAGAGTATTTGATACTCTTGCAAAGGATCTGGGTTTAGTCCCCAGCATCTACATGGTGGTCTGTAATTATACTCTAGAGGATCAAACATCCTATTCCAGCCTCTGTACCAGGCACACACATGATACACAACACAAATACATGCAGACAAACATCCATATACATAAAATATAGGTCAATCTAAAAGAAAAAAACAAAACAGATTTTTTTTTTGGTTTTTCAAGACAGGCTTTTTCTGTATTGTTTTGGAGGCTGTCCTGGAACTCGCTCTGTAGACCAGGCTGGCCTTGAACTCACAGAGATCCTCCTGCCTCTGCCTCATGAGTGCTGGGATTAAAGGCATGTGCCACCAATGCCTGACACAAAACATACTTTTTAAAGTGGCAATTATTTCTCCCCAATAAAATAATAGGTCCCATCCAAGAATCTTTAACTTTCTAGGACCATAAAGAAAATTCACATGAGAATGACATACTATATCCAGAATAGTATCAGTGTAGTTCCTGCATAATTTATAGACACTACTGTACACAAGCAATCAGATATTTTAAGGAAAAAGTAAACAAAACTATTTAAATTATAAGGTTTTAAGTGGATCACAATTCAGATTACAATAACATAATTTTAAGAATAATCTGTAGCATGGTGGCATACACCTTTAATCCCAGCAGTGGGGAGGCAGAGGCAGTTTGTATCTTTGATTTCATGGTTAGTTTTGGTCTACACAGGAGTTCCAGTATAGCCAAAGCTACACAGAGAGGTACTGCTAATAAATAAATAAATAAACAAATAAATAAATAACCCTTAGTTAATGCAAACAAGGTATCTTCACAGTAACTGAATTGTGTATCAAAATTATAAAGACTGTAAACCAGACAGTGATGGCACACACCTTGAACCCCAGCACTCGGGAGGCAGAAGCAGGTGGATCTCTGTGAGTTTGAGGCCAGCCTGATCTACAGAGTAAGTTCCAGAACAGGCAGGGATACACAGAGAAACCCTGTCTTGAAAACCAAACAAACAAACAAGACTAGTTCAAAAGGTAATGAGGGATTTTTTTTATGTAGATTTATGCCTTTCCCCAGTACTATGCTTTGTAGTACCAAAGTGGTTGGATTTTTAAAATGGGGGTATCTGAAAAATAGGCTTTTTACATTCTGTTAACAATTTAGAGACTTCAAAGAGTATTAAAAGACCTTTACCTAAAATATATAATGAAAGCTACTGGTTATATTTTTTTAAAGTTCTGAAGTTCCTAGTTTTAGAATAACAAACTGTATTTTAAAAACAAGATAGTTCTGTGTTGCATTCCAGAAAAAAACAAATCTTATATATGTAGTTAAATTAGTATTAAGTCAAGACAATACTATTTTAATGTCCTACTTGAAGTCGCAGGTTGGAGATCTAGAAGTTACCATGGGGGGAACTCTCAAAGAATCTAAAAAGATGAGTAGTGTTAAGTAGTTTTAAAATCAACATTTTATACTATCAAACACCTTAAAATGTAAAATATGGTACTTATTTTACTAAAACATTTAAGGACTGTCAACTTGAATGGACTTGAATTCATCTAATCAGAACTTCTGGGTCTGGCTTTAAGGGAATGTCTGCTGAGATTAAACAGAAGAGGGAAGATCCATTCAGAATATGGGTAGCTCGTCCCATGGGTTGGAATCCAAGGGTAGAATGAGAGAAACTGAGAAAACAAGCCAAGCACCTGAATTAAATCACCTCTGCTTCCTGTCACTGTCCCACTCCCATGCCTATGATGAGTCAAAACAAACCTTCCTTTCTGTAACTTATTTTTGTCAAGTAATAGTTGACAAATAGTAACTAATAATTTAAAGACAAAAGTCATAGTTACTTTATATTTCCAAACTGAATACATTCAACTTCTGCCTTGTTTTTTCAAACAATATTTAGTCAATATTTTAATCATTTTTCTAAAAAGAAATATTTAAGAAAAAAAAAACGTTACAACTATTTCAGACATTAAGTCGGGCCTGGTGGTGTGTGCCTATAATCCCAGCACTCGATATAGGAAGAAAATAAGGAGTTCAAGGTCAATCTGTTGCATACCAAGTTCAAAGCCAGCCTAAGCTATAAGACCTTGCCTCAATAAATAAATAAAATAATATATATGCATATAGATATATATGACTTTAGGAGTAACAACTGCTCCTGCAAACATTTAATTCTGAAAGTATTAGAGAAAATCTGGAATAATACTCTGAAAATTGTCATGGTTATCTAATTTCAAGATACACATTTCCACTTTACACAAATTGACTTTGCCTGAAATTAAGAGTGATTTTTCTATTGTTGCTCTACACTTAATAACCTCTGAGTATTCTTTCACTCAATTCTTATATTTAAAGGTTGAAGATAACAGACCTGTCATGATGTACTAATATTAAATAACTATGTTGTTTTCCAGAAAGGAAACAAGTCATTTTCTTCATCTCTCTAGCTAGCTTTTCTGTGTTTTGTGTGCATGTGTCTGAGTGACGTGTATATATGTTTGTTTCTTCATGTTCACACATGTAAGTGCAGGCATGTGCATGGTGGACAGATGACAATCTCTGGTGTCAGCTCTCACCCTCTACCTTGTTTTGTGACAGGGTCTACTGCTCACTGCTGGATACACTAGGCTACCTGGCCCACAAGCTTCCAGAGATAACAAACGCACATTACTAAGTCTTGATTTACATGAGTTCTGGACATCTGAACTCAGATCCTTACACTTCCCTAGAAAGCACTTTACATATAGAGGCCTCCCCCAAGACCTGTATTTGCTTTTTAAACAGGGTCTTAATATGTAACTCAAGCTGGCCTCGAACTCAGCTTCCTGGGATTATACGCAAGCATCACCATGCCTGAATCTAGTTAGCCTTGTTTGTTAAGATTTTAAATGGCCCTCACTCTCCTTCCTTCACTGATATTAGAGCCTATTCCTTCAGGATTCCGATGTGTACTGAAGACCAGCTGAAATATAGCCTGTGGACTGAACAACTACTGGATTTCTGGACTTTATCAGAAGACAGCCACTGTTGAACGCTGGACCACAGTCTGTAAGTCTCTCTACATACATGTAAGCCTTTATACATAAACACATATTCATTCTATCAGTTTTGTTCCTCTAGAGAACCCTAATACAAACCCTAATATGAATAAAAGATTTTAAATGGGTAAAGAAACTTAAAATCATCTAATAGTATTATTATTAAGTATAAGTATTTTAGTTGATTTTCTTTTTTTTTTTTTCTCTGTGTAGCTTTGGAATCCTAGAACTTGCTCTGTAGACCAGGCTGGACTGGAACTCACAGAGATCCTCCTGCCTCTGCCTCCCAAGTGCTGGAACTACAAGTGTGCACCACCACTGCCCAGCTCATGCCCATATTTAATCAGTAACTTTACTACATGGAAAAACAACTGTTAATGCTAAAATTATCTATTCTCAAGGATGATTTTAACTTTCATTTTATCATACTTTAAAAGCTAGTTAAGGAAGAAGGGAAAATCATTACATACGGAGTTGCAATGCCTTCTCCAAGCTTTCATAATAACATCAATTTTCTGCATTCCGATCAATCAAGTTTTTGAATACTTCACTGGCTTCATTTAATCTTCCCAATTTCAACAGCATTTCCCCTAAAATTAAGTTTAAAATCACATTCATTTTGCTTAAACATTAGTTTTCTGACCCAAGAGAATTCTCTATGCCTTACTGGTGAATGAATATTTTACAAAAACTCCAATTTTACATGCTTTCTTTTGGCCTTGTTATATACAGTTTATATAACTAAACATAGGTTAATGTAGAGTTTATCTTCACAAATGAACCATATTCATTTTTGTCTCCTTCCCATTCCCTAAATATACATATAGATACTAACTTCTTAGTAAAAAGAAAGTATCTTTTCATTATACATATTTTTATAACCTCCTGGAGACAACAAAAGCCTACACAAATGAACAGGCCAACCTTCTTACTGTAAGATTTAAATGTGTCTTCCTTTAACAGTTCGTGTATTAACTGTCTGTTCTCTTGGTTTCTTTTCTGGATTAAAATTGTGTAAGCTAACTCAGCACAATTATACAACTAAACATTATTTCATAAGCCATGTTCACATGTGAGTCATCTTTAAGGTTCAAATCTTTTTAATAAGTCACAAAAACTGCCTAAGAGTCTGGGAAACAAGACACTAAAACCCTCAGATACAATGAGAAGTACACTTAAACTGAGGTAAAAGAGGCTTTTCTTAAATGTGTATACCATACATTTTCTTAAATGTGTACACCAATTCCCAATTATTTCCCATTCCCCAAGGAACCAATTACAAACTAATAAAGCTTTGGAGTATCTTTATAATATTATTTAACATTCACCATACTGGGGTAGGTGGTATATAATTTATTCATATTTTTGTTTTATATAACCAAATTCTAAAATAGGTGTAATTATTTCACACATACCAACTTTGTGAACTTGAGCAAGTAATTAGATCTGATATAAAATGGACAGACATAACTGTTGGGTAACAGAGAAACAATAAACATGCCCTAACTCCTGCACAACTACATATTAGCCAACCAAATAACTTCCCTATTATATAACTGTCTAAATATCAAATGGGCCTACAAGGTTCACTGGAAAAATAGTATCATAGCTCACCTCCATGAGATAACTATTTATTCAAGATTAGCGTTCCCCAAATTCTTGCTACCAAAATACATGAATGTGATAATGCGAGAGAGAAAGAGAGAGAGAGAGAGAGAATGTGTGTGTGTGTGTGTGTGTGCGTGTGTGTGTGTGTGTGCGTGTGTGTGTGTATGTGTGTGTGTTTTCTAGAGAGGATTTCTTTGTGTAGCCTCGCCTGTCCTAGAACTCACAGAAGAGATCCATCTGCCTCTGCTTCCTGAGTGCTGGGATTAAAGGCGTGCAAACCACTACCTCCCAGTGTTGGGGCCTAGCCCCCACAGGGTCTCTGAGTTGTCAGCTGATAGCCACAGGTGCATCCTGTTTTCTAGTCCTGGCTTACTGCCCCCGCATTGCCCCACTGATATCAACATCTAGCACGAGGAAAACACGCTCTCTTCCACCTGGGGTTTTTCTACTGTGTTGTAAGACTATATATAAGACTGTTCCCTCCTATAAGACAGAGACCTCTTAGCACTTGCAAAATAAAGACACTTCTTAGTACAAACAGCTGGACATCTGGTCTTTCTTTTCCTGATACCTTGGAGTTGCTTGTGCCTCCTGCCCCGCATCCCAGGTAAATTTTTTTTGTTTTTTGTTTTGTTTTGTTTTAATGAAATAAATGTCACTGTATCCTACTTACTTTGTAATAATGCTATAAGACAAAGAAAGCCAGAGAGAAACAGTTGCCTGAGAGTATTAAGATTTAATCACAAAAAAAGCAATAACACACCAGGAAGGAAAAATAATTGCCTTTTTCTTTTGCTTCCAGCATTTACAGACAGTGGAACAAGAAACTGAATAATTATATTTTATTGATAATTTTAAAAACAGTGTTGTTAATACTTATATTAATGTTAATTACAATAGAATACTAAGTCAGGTACTAAAAATATGGCTTAGTGCTTAAGAGCATGCATTGCTCTTGCAGAGAATCTGAGAGAGCAGCTTACAACCATCTATAATTCCAGCTTCAGGGATTCCAATGCCTCCTGCATCCCTGACAGCTACATTCATCTATATACATACCACATACAGATACACACACACACACACACACACACACACAGTTAAAAATAAGAAAAACAAATCTTACACAAAGAAAAAACAACTAAAGGCTGGAGAGATGGGCTCAGTGGTTAAAAGCACAAGCTGCCCTTGGAGATGACCTGGGTTCAATTTCCAGCATCCACATGGCAGCTCACAACCATCAGTAACTCCAGTTCTGGAAGATCAAACACCTTCTGGCTTTTGAAGGCACCAGGCTTGCACACAGTACACATAACATACATGCATGCAAAACACTTTACACATTAAATGAAATAAAAACCCAAATCAGAAAGTGCTATATATTAACAAGAGGACAGCAGCTCCCCAGCTCATCAAAAGGATGTCATGGGGATTAAATTATTAATGGTTTAGCCGGGCGTTGGTGGCGCACGCCTTTAATCCTAGCACTCGGGAGGCAGAGGCAGGCGGATCTCTGTGAGTTCGAGACCAGCCTGGTCTACAGAGTGAGTTCCAGGACAGCCTCCAAAGCCACAGAGAAACCCTGTCTCGAAAAACCAAAAAAAAAAAAAATTATTAATGGTTTAGTAGCAAGGGCTTAGATGCTCACCAAATACACAGTGTTAAGACAAAATTTAAAGCACCATTAAAAAAAAAAGTCAACTTACCCTTAATTTCTTCCACCAAAAGTTTATCACGTATCTGCTTCTCGTATGTTTCTATATGTTCCAAAGATTCTTGAAATAAGCCTGCCTCTCTCATCACTTGATTCTGATATAGGATAAATTCACTATACTCATAATCTATTTTGTCAGGAGGAACCGGAAAGAAAACAACAAATCATCTCCTTTGTGTAGCTATATAAATTAGTTACAGATCTCTAATTTTTTACTCAGGACCCATCTGCACAGACTTAATTCAGAAGCAGTTAAAAATAGGTTAATAAATAATTAATTCTGTCTTTAAAGTAAAATAGGTATATATGGCCAAGAAAAGAGATGAACAGATCTGATATCCAGATATAAAAATGGGGTAACATTCTAAGAAATCTGCCAAAAATTCTTTTTTTTTTTTTTTGGTTTTTACGAGACAGGGTTTCTCTGTATTGTTTCGGAGGCTATCGGTCCAGCCCGGCCTCGAACTCACAGAGATCCGCCTGCCTCTGCCTCCCGAGTGCTGGGATTAAAAGCGTGCGCCACCACCGCCTGGCTGCCAAAAATTTTTAAAGGAAAAACAGAACTAATAAAGGAGTTTAGCAAAGTTTTATACAAAGTTTACTCAAGAGAATACTGTGAAGCAGGGCAGAGTGTAATACACTTGTAATGCCAGCACTTGGTGAGTGGAAGCAGGAAGATCAGCCTCAGCTACATAGCAACTACAAGACTAGCATGGGCTACGTGAAAAAAAAACAACAGAAAAGACAACAAGAGAGTGTCTGTTATCCCAGTACTCAGAAGCCAACTGGATTGCCAGGAATTCAAAGTCAGACCGGGCTACAGAAACCATGGTCCAACACACCCAGAGAAAAAAAGTCAACAAACTACAAGTGTTTTGATTAAATCAACAAAATCACTAACTTAACCTACAATCACCAGGGGGAAAAACAAACAAACCAGTTATTAAAATCAGAAGTTAAAGAACAGTACCACAGTTGTGATATATTTTTAAGAAGATTAAAATATCATAAAAAATAAATGGGAAAAATTAAGATAAAATGAACTAATTCCTACAAGTATAAAAGCTTTTATAAAAACTGACTGAAGATACAAAAAATTTTGAGTTGCAACAGAGAATAAATTGACAATAAACTTCGCAGGAAGACCAGGATTAGATGGCAGCACAGCGCATTCTATGAGATATTTACAGAATTAGTTCCAATTCTTCCTAAAGTCTTTCAAAACAGAACAGGAGCAAAGCCTTTGAGATTTATTCCATGAGGCCAGTATTACCCTGATAGCAAAAGGCACAGGCATCAAAAGAAAACTACAGACCAGTATCACTTTTGCCCAGGGATGATGATGATGATGTTGTGTGTGTGTGTGTGTGTGTGTGTGTGTGTGTGTGTGTGTGTGTGTGTCTTTTGTTAGTGGTGGTTTCATTTTGACACCAGGTCTCACTACATAGACCAAGCTAATCTAAAACTCAGAGAGATCTGTCTGCCTCTGCCTTGCTGTAATTAAAGGCATATGCCACCATACCCTGAGAAGTTTTTTGTCAACTTGACATAATCTAGAACCACCTGGGAAGAGAGTCACAATGAGGATTATTTATCAGATTAGTCTTTGGGTGTGTCTGAAGGACATTATCTCAATTGATGTGAGAGGATCCCCCTTCCCTGGGCTTGGAGTCCTACTCTGTATTACAGAGTGAAAAAAGCAAGCTAAAGACATGAATGCATGTGTTATTTTCTTCCTGCTCTTGACTACTGATGTGACTAGATGCTCAAGTTCTTGCTGCCTTGACTTCACTCCATAGACTGTAACCTGGAATTGTGAACCAAACTTAACCCATTTCTCCCTTACTTCTGTTTTGAAGACAGCATTTATCTGTGTAACAACCCTGGCTGTCCTAGAATTGAATTTGTAAACTAGGCTGGTCTCAAAATTATTCATCATATCTAAATATAGTTTATTTTATATTATGAAGACTACATTTTAACCTTTTTTTTTCAAGGCAGGGTTTCTCTATGGCTTTGGAGGCTGTCCTGGAACTAGCTCTTGTAGACCAGGCTGGTCTCAAACTCGCAGAGATCCGTGCCTCTGCCTCCCAAGTGATGGGATTAAAGGCATGTGCCACCAACGCCTAGCACATTTTAACTTTTTGTCGCTATTAAAATATTTTTCAAGTTTTTTTCATAGTATTCTATGAAATTTAAAGCTAAAAGTTAACTATTTCAGTAGAAGAAAATGTTAAAGTGAAGTTCTTACTTGCTGTGTTTGTCTAAATTCTTCTAGTAATTTTAGCGCCATATCGTAATCTTTCAGTAAATGGTACGCAAAGGCATATCCAATCCAGGAAGCATGCTGTGTTGGGCGCAACTAAAGAAGCTGGTATGTGTTCTCCTTTGGGGAAAAATGTTTTTTCTCTTTTAAAATTCTTTATCTAAAATGTCTACATTTCATCTGAATTTTAATAATCTTTAGTAACACTGTAATTAATTTAATAAACAAGTATGAGTTCCAAAACATGATAAAACATTGAGTTACCTTTCTCATCTAAATTAAGTCTCTGTATTAGTTACATTAATGCCTTTTAATAATGTTCGCTGTGAGGCTGTCACTATGAACTAACTACACTGTGAGGCTCATGTCTTTGGTACCTTGTAAAAACTATCTATATATAATAAAAATGTCTTTGGATAAAATATCTTACAGAATTAAGTTTTTTTATACTAGATTTTTCAAACTATAGGAAATTAGCTGATTTGCATTGTTTTACATGTTTTCAGGAGCACCACTGCTTTCAGACACAGAGTCTCACTGAGAGGGTAAACTATAAGGAAGTCTAGAAAAATGTCTATTTAACTTTGTTGAACCTATTCCATGGCTGCAAGAGGAGCCAGGGGAGGCCATCCTTCTCAGGTCCTCTCAGCTGTGTCTGGTCCCCTCTTAAAGAACACCAAGTTTCATCACTTCATCTTACTTTCACTCTTGTTTCTGTCACTCACTCCATTAATGTACGAGTCAAGATTGTTTCCTCTGGCAAACTCAATACTGATATGGGCAAGTTAGTAATAGTTACTAATCTAATAGCCCATCTTCTTAGCTGCAGAATGTCCTATCTTCAATGATTTCTACCCATTTCAGGGACCCACGTGGACATCCACACCCCACTAAACCTTTATCCAACCCAGAAATCAAATTCAGGTATCTCATCCTCTGGCCACTGCTTCTTGGCCTCCAACATTTCAGCCTGGTCACACCTCACCTCTACTTTTGCTCTTTGACATCATCAGTGGGATGGACAGCTTTATGTCAACTTGACACAAGCTAAAGTCATCCGAAAGAAGGAAACCACAATTAAGAAAACGGCTCCATAAAATTGGGCTGTAGCCTACAATCCCACTGCCAGAGAGTCTGGGAAACAGGGAGGACCCTAGGAGAGATATGTATGGTACCCCACAGAAGGGGAATGGGGCAAGATCTCCTGAGCGGATTAGGAGCATGGGGAGAGGGGAGAGGGAGTCAGGAAAAAGAGAGGGGGAGAAGAGGAGGGGAGAGGAAGACATGGGGGAGCAGGAAGGTTCAGTCAGGAGAAGAATAGAGGAGAGCAGGATGAGAGATACCATAATAGAGGGAGTCATTATAGGTTTGAGGAGAGATCTGGCACTAGTGAGATGTCCAGAGATCTACAAAGATGACACAAAGCCGGGCGGTGGTGGCGCTCGCCTTTAATCCCAGCACTCAGGAGGCAGAGGCAGGTGAATCTCTTGTGAGTTCGAGACCAGCCTGGTCTACAAGAGCTAGTTCCAGGACAGCCTCCAAAACCACAGCATCAGAGAAACTCCGCCTCAACCAAAAAGGATGACACCAACTGGCAAACTAAGCAATAGTGGAGAGACTACCTTAAATGCCCCTCCCTGATTATGAGTTTGAAGACTACATTATATGCCATCCTAGAACCTTCATCCAGTGGCTGAAGGAAGCAGACACCCACAGGTAAACACTGAATTGAACTCCTGGAACCCAGTGGCAGAGAGGGAGGAGAGATGAGCAAAGGGATCAAGACCAGGCTGGTGAAATGCACAGAGAACGCTGACCTGAACAAGGGGGGGAGATCTTGGACCCCAGAGTGATGGCTGAGAGGCCAGCATAGGACTGATCCAGACCCCCTGAATGTGGGTATCAGTGAGGAGGCCTAGGCAATATATGAGGCCTTGGGTAGTAGTAGATCAGTTATTTATCCCTGGCATACAAATGGACTTTGGGTGCCCATCCCACATTGAGGGACTTTCTCTCAGCCTGGAAACATGGGGGAGGGCCTAGGCCCTGTCCTGGATGAAATGACAGACTCTGGAGATCCCCCATGGAGGGTCTCACCCTCCCTGGGGAGTGGAGTGGGGATTGGGTGAGGGACTGGGGGGGTTGATGGGGAGGCAGGGGAGGAGGGGAGGGAGAGGGAGCTGGGATTGACATGTCAAGCAAGCTTGTTTCTAATTTAAATTAAAAAAAGATTTTAAAAAAAAGACTGGGCTGTAGGCCATTTTCTTAATTAGTAATTAATGGGGTGGGGGCCATCCCATTGTGGATGGTACCATCCTGTGTTCCTAAGAAAGCAGGCTGTGCGAGCCATGAGAGGCAAGCCAGTAAGCAGCACCCTCCATAGCCTTTGTATCTGCTCCTGCTTCCTCTCCTTACTTTTTCAATGATGAACAGTGACGTGGACATGTGAGCCAAAGAAACCCTTTCCATCCCAAGCTGCTTTGGTCACGGTGTTTCATCACAGCAATAGCCACCCTAAGACACCCAATATCTGTAGTTCCACAGCTGCTTTGCTTTCACAATCTGATTTTTTTTTTTTTTTTTTTTTTTGGTTTTTGGTTTTTGGAGACAGGGTTTCTCTGTGGCTTTGGAGGCTGTCCTGGAACGAGATCTTGTAGACCAGGCTTGGTCTCAAACTCACATAGATCCACCTTCCTCTGCCTCCTTAATGCTGGGATTAAAGGTGTGTACCACCACTTACTCTATTTCATAAGTCAGTTCAACAGCCATTGTCTTGCCAATATTCTGAATTCCTATGCCTCATTCTTGAAGATAAATATTTTGGGGGGCTTTAAAATTTTTTATAATATTATAGGTCTTTGCCTGTATGTGTACATACATACTACATATATACCTGCAGAGGCCAGAAGAAGGCACAAGATCCCCTAGATCTGCAGTTTCAGCCAAGTGTGAACCACCATGTGTGTGTGCTGGGAATGGAACCCAAAGATCCTTTGCAGAAACAACAAATGCTCTTAACCACCAAGCCATCTCTCCAGCCCCAAGAAAATTATTCCCATCACACCCAATCACTACTGAAGAAAACAAACACACACTTTGAAAAGTGATGTCATGAAGTCCAGCAAAGCCCCTGAATCTGGTGATATAATAATGGGCTTAGGTGTAAACATGTAAATGGCAGGAAGAGAGCAAAAGAAGTAAAAGATTTATTTAAAAAGAACCGCTCACAGTTCATAGTTCCTTTACATAATAAACTAAGACATGCTTGGCAGCACATATACTAAAACTTAGAATCATACAGAGATTAACATAGTCCCTGTGCAAGGATGACATGCAAATTTGCGAAGCATTCCATAGATAGGAAGGGAGGGAGGGAACTAAGGGAGCCAGACATGATGGTACACCCTCTAAGTCTTTTAAAATCTGAACTGCACAAAGATTTCTTTATTGAGCTGGAACAATAGCTCAGTGGCTAAGGGCACACACTGTTTCTGTAGAAGATCCAAGTTCAATTTCCAGTACCCACATGGGGCAACTCACAACTGCCTGTAACACTAGATCCAGGAAATCCAAGGCCTTCTTCTAGCCTCCACAGGTACCTAAACATACATCTGCCCAAACACACAGACAATGCCACATAACTAAAAAGGAAAATGCATCTAAAAAAACCTGTGCACGGCAATCTTTTCCACATTACTTTATACTTGCTAACCTTTAAAAAGGGCTAACTAATGTTTAGATTTCAATAAAGCTGAATGTCAAACCTACATTCAGTGTATCAACTTGTTCCAACCAAAAAGATAATAGTATAATACTACACACCAAGATAATCAATTCTTTTAAACTTGTGTGTGTATGAGCAAGTATGCATGTGCCATAGCACACATGGAGGAGTCAGAAGACAACTTACAGAAGTCTGTTCTCTCCTTCCACAGTATAGGTCCCAGGGATGGAACTCAGGTCATCAGGCTTGGCAGCAAGACTCTTTCTCCATTGAGTCACCCCAATTTAGCTTCATTTAATGCTCAAACACGAAATCCTGTAACTTTTACTGTAGGAAGGTCCAAGTGGCTTCCCTCTTCTACTACAGATTCTAACAAATCAAATGTCACCATTTTGCCCTAGGCCTACTTCATTCTGAAGGCACATATTTTTAAAAATTTGATCTTTAAGCCTAGTGTGGTGGCACACACCTTTAATCTTATCACTTAAAAAAATTAACCTTTGTACTAAAAAAGTACATTGAAATCTACTTACTCGATATCCTTCAAGGTCTCTCATCTGAATCTGTAATAGAGAGAGATCCCTCAAGATTTGCAAATTATCTTTATCTAATCTGAGGGCATTTCGGTAACACTTAATAGCTTCATCATACTTCTTATCCGAACACTGCAAGAGGCCGTATACATGCCAACCTATTAAGTTAAGGAAATACAGACATTCACAGACACTGTAATATACTATGCAACAACATCAACAGTATTTTATCTGCAATTTGTTTCAAAATGATCTGGAGACAAGAGGAAAAAGTCAGTGAGAAATAGGCAAATATGAAACCAGCCAAGCCTTGACTGTTCAAGCTAGGTGATAAGGACACAGTGGTTCAACACTCAATTTTTTCCATTTTGTAGATGCTTGAAATTTTCCATATTTGTAAATAACTTTTAGAAAATTCCTGGCAATAACTCATAACTTTTTTCTATACTCTATCCCCTTGCTCTTTTAACCAAACGTCTCAAAATTCACTTATATAAAAATTGTGATTTTCTTCTAAAATAAATTTATATTTATCCAATTCTAAGTAATATACCACCATTTAATTCATTAGTGATAGTAAAAAACACAAAATTAAGTTGTATTCCCTTAGTTTATCTTAGGGGGGGAAAATGTCCAAAACTAAAAACTACTATACTTACATAGCCTCTCTCTTCACTTTGGGGTAGGCATTGGGGTAGGAAAATAAGCATGTAGTATTTTGAGAGACTTCTAAGTTAAAATATGTGAAAATAGGAAGTCTATGCATGCTTAAATGAATACTAGCCAGCTGCTAAATGAATTCAATGTCAGATACACAGGACACTAAGGGAAAAAATGAAAAATGTTCAACAATCTTTTAAAAGATTTTTATATTGTTTACACATTGAAATACTATCCAATGAAAAATATAAGTTTAAAGATTCAGTGAAGCAATAGCTAAGTCTCTGTTAACAGAAATCAAAGTAAAGAACCAGTTTTTCCGGACACAAACTAGAACCTGGTTTCCATTTATCAGCTTTCCAGTGCCGGGGCCACACCCAGGGTGTGTTGCACACACTGGGCAGGTGCTCTGCTACTGAGCTCCAGGGCCAGCCAAGCTTCTTTTAAAATAGGTTTCTTTTCAATTTAAAATTTCCTCTAAAACTTTTAAAAGAAAATTAAAGACATGAAAATTATTCAAAACTCACTATTTGAAATGGAGAAGTTATCAGTAAGCTAATGTTTTGGGTTTTTGTTTTTTGTTTTTTGTTTTTGTTTTTGTTTTTTTGGTTTTTAAGAGACAGGGTTTCTCTGTATTGTTTCGGAGGCTATCAGTCCAGCCCTGCCTCGAACTCACAGAGATCCTCCTGCCTCTGCCTCCTGAGTGCTGGGATTAAAGGCGTGCACCACCACCGCTGGGCCATAAGCTAATGTTTAAGGAAAGAACTCCTCTCTATCTCAGTCTCTCCATGAAGATTTTCTTTAAAATATTCAAAAAAGGATTAGGGAACAAAATGTTAATCACAGACGATGAATAATGGGAATAGACCTTCATTAAAACTCCTAAGAATTTTTTTCACAGAACACTTGTAAAATGAGAATGAGAAAAGATAAATAAATGAAAATACAAATGATATTGCAAAAACTAAGGCAAAAGGATACAAACATGACTCCTGACATCACTTCGAAGTCTTTTACGAACAAATTCATTCGCTTCTTCTCTTTTTCCTAAACAGTTTAGTGTTAGTCCTTTCATAGCCAAAGTCTCTGAAAAGTAATTTTAAGCTCGTTTACGATGAGAAATGCGAGTTATTCTCCCAGCACTGTTAGTACTTGAGATCTAAAGCACCATTATTACAATGGTGGTGGACACTTTTAATTCCAGCACGCAGGAAGCAGAGGCAGGCGGATCTCTGAGCTTGAGACCAGTCTGGTCTACAGACAGAGCTAGTTCCTGGACAGCCAGGGTCCCACAGAGAGACTCTGGCTTGGAAAACAACCAAACAAACAAACAAACAAAAACCCAACCAACCAAACAACAAAAACAAAGTAACATTATTGCCCCGGCATTTATCTTCACCACAAAGGAACAAAGTAAAATCACACATGTTTGCTTGAAGCATCTGTCTACCCTACTGAAACCGATTTTAACCTATTACAAGCTAACTTATACCTCACAAAAAGAGTGACTACCTAAATAAAGATATACACTGTAATGATTAGCACCATATTCAGGAACCTAAGTCCATTCTAAAATGCCTTAGACAGAAATAGAGTTGTTAAAATGTTTTCTACCTTTAGAAATCTCTATATAGAGGGATTTGTATTACTCTCATGAAAAAAATTAACAAAGTAGGCATCTGAGTCCTCCTGAATTAAATTTACTACAGTAGTTCCATATTTTCACAAGGCCAAATCATGTTTGCATATGTCGTATGTGTTCATGTGTGAGTGCAGGCTGAGTGTGTATCAGGCATGTGGAGTCAGAGAACAACCTCAGAAGTTGTTCCTCAACGTTCACCTTCTTTAAGGCAAGATCTCTGCTTTTTACTAAACTAGCTGGTCCATGAGCTTCCAGGGTTCTCCCATCTCCACCTCCCATCTTACTGTGGAGGCAAAAGGATTGCAGACCCATTTTCACAGCTGCTTTTACAATGGCTCTGGATGTGTGAATGCAGGTCTTCGAAACCACTCAGCAAGCACCATGCCCACTAAATATTGCTCCATCTCACTGAGACCAATTCTAACCAATCATAATCTAGTTCATACTTCACAAAAAGCATGAGTCTACTTATTAAAAAAAGACGTTATGATCATTATCACCATATTCAATACTGACAGATATTTTTGTCAACAAATTGATTTCAACAATTCTATTTCAGCTAGTAACATTAGTTTGTTTTTGGAGAGCCTAATATGGGACTACAGACAAGCAACCCAAGAAAATGTTAGGAAGTTAATGAAAGATGATTTACAATAAAATATTTCTCTGAAAAATCCACAAAGGAATTAGATAATAACAGCAATTTTCAAAATGATCTCTGTAGATTACACTTTTCACAACACAGTGATCCAACTGCCTACTCTAACTGCCCAACAGCTTTCATTTTCTAAAACTTTGCAAAATGAAAACTTACTTATATTATCAGCCCATTTTCCTATTAAATGATTTTAAAAGTTCTCCAAGTCTAGTGCTCTGAAAGACCTTAATTAGATATGTTATATTATGGATTACATTACGCAAGTCTAACCTGATCTTTCAACAAACAATGCCTACCAGTAAAAAGGATGAAGAAGTAAGTGTAGACTTTATTAGGAACACTGAGCAAAAAAAGTCAACAACATAATGATGGATCAATAGTTACATATTTATATAAAGATGAAGCAATAAACCAGACACTGGTGGTGCACGCCTTTAAACCCAGCACTAGGAGGCAGAGGCAAGCAAATCTCTGTGAGTTCAAGGCCAGCCTGGTCTACAGAGCGAGTTCCAGGACAGGCTCCAAAGGTACAAAGAAAAAAAAGGATGAGGCTGAGGTAATAAGGGCCAGCTACCTGACTTACTGCCACCAAGTGCCACAGGACCCACATGGTAGAAGAGAACCAATTCTCAGAAGTTGTCCTTTCACCCCCATACATGCACTGTGGACTACATGCAACCAGCAAACATGCTCACGTGATAAACAAACATTAAAAATAAGGAAATACATTTAAAAAATGGCACCAAGTAATAAAACGCATGTGACATCTTCACACAATTCTATACTGCAAATAACAACCTAATTTTATTTTATTTTTGTTTCTTTTTATGTAAATTAGAAACAATTTTGTTTTACATGTCAATCCCAGTTCCCTCTCCCCTCCTCCCCTGCCCACCACCAACACCCTATCCTATCCCCTTTCTATTGCACAGGGAGAGTGAGGCCTTCCATGGGAAATCTTCAAAGTCTGTCATATCATTTGGAGCAGGGCCTAGGTCCTCCCCCATGTGTCTAGGCTGAGAGAGCATCCCTCTATGTGGAATGGGCTTCCAAAGCCCATTCATACTAGGAATAAATACTGATCCACTACCAGAGGCCCCATAGATTGCCCAGGCCCTCTAACTGACACCCACGATCAGGGGGTCTGGGTCAGTTCTATGCTGGTTTCCCAGTTATCAGTCTGGGGTCCATGAGCTCCCCAACAGCCTAATTTTATATACAGGTAACTAAAGTAAGAAACTGTAGTCTATCTAGTCAAAGTGATGGACAAATCTATCTATAAAACTGAGCATTCCTAATCCAAAAGTCCCAAATCCTAAATCCTCCAAGATCTGAAACTAAGATTTCAGATTTTTTGAATTGGAATGTTCAACTGCTAATCTAAGCAATTAATCCAAAACCTGAAACCCTCTGATATCTGAAGTACTTCAGGAAAGGATATTAACATGCATATTACCTCATCCAATTGTCCCTTAGTAGGATCAACTTTCTCATCTAAAAGACACTGCATACACTAAACCGTAAAACTAGCTCAGCATAAGAGTCACTTGAAACATAACAAAATGCTGAACATTTATGCTTTAAATAGAGCCACAGCCTTAGAATCTGAGTATTCCTTCACTTTAAGTCCTGCCTGATTTTAGAATTACATTCCCCCAAAGCAGCATTGCAACAGATGAGACAGTACCTCCATGTTCAGCAAATTTCAGGTTCGAAATAATCATCTTGCAAAACTTGAGGCCATTTTTGTATTGCTTCTGCTCATAACATTTCTAAAAAGAATCAGGAGCAAAAGTTATTTTATAGAACGGATAATGAAGCAACTTTCATTGTATCATATAAATTCTAAATTCAAACTCCAAAGTTGAAAATGTGATTAATTTACAGCATTAAGTGCAGTTATACATGCCTTGACAAACAGCATTTCCACTGTTATAGAATATAAAGACATAAATGCATAAATTCAATGAATGCAGAATCATCAAACACACTGACACGGATTTAATGAAGAATTTTAAAGCCACCTAACTATGACTTGGTACCCGCTGATTAACTTTTCCTGATGCCTTCCTCCAATCATTCTCACCCACCTCTGGTAACCTCTGTTGTTATACATGAACCTTCAAGTCCTTGAAGTGTTTATCTTTCTATGCCTGGCTTATTTTACTTAATATCATGTCTAACTACCCATGTTGCTGAAAATGTTGTATTTCCATTCATTTTATGGCTGATTACTATTCTATTGAATGTGTCACACTGTTTTATCCACTTATCAGTTGAAGGACATTTAGATTGATTCCATTTATTGGCTGTCATGAATGGTGCTGAATAGTGCAGTAAACATCCTACAGATGTCCCTTCAACATACTGATTACAATTCCTTTGGATATATACCCTACAGTGGAATAGCAGGATTACAGGGTAGTTCTATGAGTATTTTGATTTTTTCTTAGGAATCTCCATATTGTTTTGGGGGGGTGTGTACCAATCAGAAGACAACTTATGAAGTTGGTTCTCTCCTTCTACCTTTCCATAGGCTGCAGGGATTGAACTCTGGTCCTTGGACTTGTATGGCAAGGGCTTTACCTGCTGAGCCATTTCACTGCCCCACGTACTGTTTTCTGTACCAGCAGTACTACCATTACCAAAAACAATGAGCAAGGATTCCATTCTCTCTACAACCTTCCCAGCGCTTCTCTTTCATCTTTCTAATCTTATTTGGTTCTTGTAAGAATTCCTTTAAAGTAGTGTTACTATCTCACTTTACCAATGTGGAAAAGTAAGCCTCTGAATTCACATACAAATTCACCTTTGCAGAAAACTGTGGTCCAGCTACAAGGACTATCACTCATCTAACACTAACACAAAAAGCATGTATCCCAAATCACACAGGCCAGGCTAAGTGATCATCAGTATTCCCTGAGCTCCCACTGATCAGGAACATATTTTATCTTTCCACTTTCCCATCAATTATACTGTTCAGACTAAGTATCCTATCCCTCGGTATCCAAGCTTTCCCCCACTTCATACTGTGCTCCTTTCAACTAAAATGCTCTTCCTCTGATCTTCCCTTGACCACTTATGATCTAAGTCACACATCACCTACGTGACCATGCTAACTCTACCAGACTCCCACCCTCTGCCTCCCCGTACTATGCGTTACTGTTTCATCTGCTACACAGTGCTGTGATTTGCTGTCTCTGGCATTCTTATTTATTCATCTACTTATTTACTACCTGTCTTAGTTATCATCTGTGAGCTCTAGGAGAATGAAAATCTTGTCTAGGTTTCCTTAGCTACACAAATAAGAGCAGCTCAATAAGACCATCCTCCTAAATTCAAAGCAAAATGGCACCAACGGAGGCGACAATTTAAAGTCCTCATTGAAATATATTTAAAATGAATTTTCCTGACTGGCTCTGGGAAGAGAACTGAATGGTTGGAAGACAAAAGTAACAGAAGAAAATAATTTTGAACCATGTGCATACATTACCTACTCTACAGATACACACACACACACACACACACACACACACAAACACACTTGTGGCCAGGCCTGTGACTCACTCCCTACAATCAATCCCATCCCTTAGGAAGCTGAGACAAAAGGACTGCCATGAGTTCAAGGCTGGCCTACATTATACACAGTGAGCTCCAGTATGGGCTAGAGAGAAACTCTGAAACCTAGTCTCAATAAAATAGGGCCAATGAAATGGCTTAGTGAAGATGCTTGGCGCCAAGACCAACAACCTGACTTTAATCCTGGAAACCTGCAAGTTGTCCTCTGACCTCTGCACAAACACCAAGGCATGCACACAAACATGTTTTTGTAAGGCCCAATTTTGATTGTAGAGGTGCAGTTGACAACTGACAAAGAAAAACAGTGGGAAGGAACTACTGAGGAAGAGTACCAAGTGTTCTTTAAATAATGATTCAGCTACAGTAACAAAAGGAGTGAACATTTTTATTTGTTCTTTATTTACAAAGCATGCTACACTACTAACCTTTAAGATCCATAACAAATTGAGATTTGAAATAGTCATCCCAAGGCTAGATATGGTATCCAAAACTGTAATCCCAGTACTCTCTACAAAAATACAGTAGATGAGTTCAAGATCATCTCTGGCTGGAGTTCAGGGCCAACCAGAGCTATATAAGGCCCTGCCTCACCAGAGAGTCTGGGAAACAGAACCTTCATCCAGCGACTGATGGAAGCAGAGGCAGACACCCACATGTAGAATCTAGGGTCAGAAAGGGAGAACTGATGAGCAAAGGAGTTAAGACTGGGCTGGTTTAACCCACAGAAACAGTTGACCTGAACAAGGAGGAGCTCTTGGACCCGACTGATGGCTGTGTGGAAAGCATGGGACTAACCCAGAACCCCTGAATGTGGGTGTCAGTGAGGAGGCCTAGGTAATCTATGAGGCCTTGGGTAGTATTTATCTCTGGTGTACAAATAGATTTTGAGTGCCCATCCCACAGTGAAGGATGCTCTCTCAGCCTGGAGTCTTGTGGGAGGGCCTAGACCCTGCCCTGGATGAAATGACAGACTCTGGAGATCCACCATAGAGGGCCTCACCCTCCTTGGGGAAATGAGAGGGTATTGGGGGGGGGTTGGTGGGAGTGTGTGGGAGGGGGAAAGGGAGAGGGACCTGGGATTGACATGTGAAGCAACCTTGTTTCTAATTTAAATTTAAAAATTAAAAAAAGAAGAATGCTAAGTAAAGCAAACCTACATGCTTTATCTCCCTAATTCAGAATCAAATCAACTATTATTATTAAGAGCAAAAGCTCAGCAAAAATGACCAACCTAACAGAAAGAGGCATGACTCTGGCATCAGATTTAAAAGGTAACAGTCATGCAGAGAAATAAAATCGTCGTTTAACAGGCTTCTAACCCCAAATACCTCCAAATAAATAGTGCTAGAGAAGAACAATCTATCTAACTCTATGAGTTCTCAAGACAAAAGCAAAATCAGTGAATCAGAAAAATAATCAAAGAAAGTAACTTGGAGATTATTATTGCACGATGTCAGCAGAAGCAAAAACTGCCACATTATGTATTGCCCATATATGCAAAATAGACGCTTCTAGAAAATATGACAACAGAAGCAAAGGAATGAGTTCCAAGTTCACTAGGGTTACCGCATGAGTATGTAACTGTCTCAATTAGCATATTATAAACTTTAACATAGTTAGAGCAGAGTATCATCAAAGTGAAGAAGGATATAATCAAATAATATACCCCAACGAGACAACAATATCCCTGATAAACCACAATCTAAGATTAGGGTACACAGACCAGTCAGGTAACAAAAGCAGCCATATTCTGCTTCCAATCCTATACTAAAGCAGCTATCAAAATGGACTGGACTGCAGAATGGACTGGAGTGGAGGCTGGGTGGAGGACTGGGGGGCCTGGTGGGGAGGGAGGGGGGAGAAGGGGAGGCAGAGGGAGCTGGGATTGACATGTGAAACAAGCTTGTTTCTAACTTAAATTTAAAAAAGGAAAAAAAAAATAAGGCCCTGCCTCAAAATTAATAAACTCCCCAATCTACTGGCTTGAATCAGAACCACTACTGTAAATTTTTGTCAGGTGATGGCAATAAACTACTCTATTAGTGTTTTACTTAAAGCTGACCAACATCTAACTGCTATTCATGTGCTCTCGATTATCTATTTACCCTTCAATCTAAAAGCTTGCTCGGCAAGTACCACGTTTTCAAATCAAAAAGGCCGACTAGAAAAGGCAGCTATTAACTCATATTCGTTTATACGTCTTCGTCCAGGGCACACTGGAAAAGACAAAGGCCTTGTCACATCTCTCCTCCCTGGAAAACGGTGAAGGCGCCAAGGTGGCAGATACTCTGGCACACATCCCGGAGAGAACTTGTCCAGGCAGTGGCAAATATCTTTTAGCCCAGAACTCGGGAGGCAGAAAACAGGCGGAGCTCTCTAAATTCTGGACTAGCTTTGTCCACACAGAGATACAGCCCAGCTAGGGCTACATAGTAAGCCTGTCTCAAGTAAAATGTACAAAATAAAACCGAACCTCTCTTGGTTTGGCATAGGTCTGCCATGACCAAGGCATTATCTGGGCTTGCTTCAAAGCCAAGTAAACCCAAAGAATTTCTCATGTGCAAGGTCAGTAGCCTCGGCAGCTCTCATCATTCGGGCGAGTTAGAATCAAGAGTTCCAGGCAAAGTCGGTTCCCAAACGGGGGCCACCACACTGTCCCGCACAGAGGCACTGGCTCCCAGGACCGCGGGCTCAGTTCCCCGCACCCCCGCACCCGGGGACCCCAGCGCCTCCGCCGGGAAGTTTCCGGAAAGCGCCCGCAGTGGGGCCGGGCCAGCCGGCCCCGGACGCCGGGAGGAGGGCGGGGAGCCGGCTCGGAGGTAAACAAGGCGCGCCGAGGTCGGGTGGCTCGCCGCCCGCCGCTCACCAGCACGCGCTTGAAGAGGGCGCTCTCCTTGGGCGGCAGCTGCACGCTGGGCATCACGGCGGCGGGAGGGGGGGAGCCTGCCGGCTGCTGCAGCCGCTACCCGGACCACGGGTTACCTCACCGGGAGGCCGCGGGAAACGGAGCACAGCGCACCCCAGTGGGCGGCCCGGGAGGGAACCCCGCGCGCGCCAAGAAGGCAGCCAGGGTCCGCCCCCCATCCCCCACCCTCCGCGCGCGCGCTGCGCATGCGCAGGCTCACGGCCGAGGGGCAGACCCGCGTCTACTCCCTGGGGAGCTCGCCTGGTGTGTGGCCAGGCTGTGGCTCCTGTCACCTCCACAGCGCCCAGCCACTCGCGTACCTTCTTCACCTCTGGACGCTGTTCACCGCACGCTTCTGTCCTAGATCGTGTGACTTTTCTCCGAGTTAACTTTTATTCTTTTGTGCACTTGGAACCCTGCTCGACCCAATGCAGACTCTTGATTTACAATCAATTTTTCATTCTTTTTCTCGCCTTATTTAAAATGACTCTTAAGAGCGGCCTTATGGACAGACCCTGAAATGATGGAACTGATGTGAAAGCCCCTGTAAAGTACAAAGGTCCATAAAAATGTTTTGCGCAATGGCGCTAAACCTATTCTCACAGCACTTGGGAGGCAGAGGCAGGAGGATGGCCTAAATTAAAGGCCAGCTTGGTGTACTTAGTGAATTCTAGGTCGGGAAGGACAGGAAGGAGAAAGAAAATAATTTCAGCCGGGTAGGGCACCCAACATTTTCACTACAGTTGTTTCTATGGTTCCTCTGATCCTCCAGTCTCCATATAAGCCACCCAATTACTGGAGAAGCAGGATACAACCCTAGGATGGGCCAGGGACGATGTCTAAGAAAATTAAAAGACACCACGTGATTAGCTACACATAAACATCTGTGACAAGGAGCATATACAAAATGTTGACTTACTATTAAGATGTATGTAAACATTACATATATAAACATATACATTCTCAATCTTAATGTCTGCATATTTTTTACGAGACTAGAAGATACTTGATAATTTAATTTAATGGACTATAAAGAGAACAGGAATGGTGTCTTTTTTTTTTTTTATTCCCTGAGTTGGAGGGGAAAAAAATATCACAGAAGACTTTAAAAATGGGAAGGGACATTCTCTGCAATTGACATTAGTTTGCAAAGGGAAAATGAGTTTTCGCCAAAGGAGTCTCACCGTGCATATTAACCACAATTAAGGGCAGGCTTTAGATGACCAACACAAAAATAACTGAATATTCTTGTAGACTTTTTGTCTCATATTGCTTTGTTTGAGTTTTTTTTTTTTTGTCTTACTTTTTTTGTATACTATGGTTTCTGATTGGTTTTAGGATTGATTTATTTATTATGTATAGTGTTCTGCCTCCATGTATGCCTGCAGGCCAGAAGAGGGCACCAAATCTCATCATGGATGGTTGTGAGCCACCATGTGGTGAACTCCCAGTGCTCCTAACCGCTGAGCCCTGGGTTTATGGGTCGTGTGTGTGTGTGTGTGTGTGTGTGTGTGTGTGTGTGTGTGTGTGTGTGTGTGTGTGTGTAGGGGGGCTTTTCTTTGTCTACTTCTGGTTTATTTTGTTGTTGTTTGCCTGTTTTCTAAAGAGGGAAAAAGAAAGGGTATGGAGTTAGGTGGGTAAGGAGGTGGTTGGATCTGGAAGGAGTTGGGAGGGGAAAGTGTGATCAGAATATATTGCATGAAAAAAAATTCAATAAAAAGGTAAATAGTAAGTGTGGGGACAACAGACTTTGGCCAAGACCCACTTCCCCATCAGCCTGGGACCTGACAGCTGTAAGACAATGTTTACTAAAAACAATACAGTGCCCCGGGCAATAAGTTCCTGAAAAGGGCTTGCCCACAGGAATCGCCCTGACCTTGACTCTTTCTGACCCACCCACCGCTGCCTCTGGTATATAATAACCAGCCAGGGTAGGAATAAGAGAGCCTTCTTGAGGAGCCTTCTGGTCTCTGTGTCATCAATCCCGATACCCTCGCCACATTCTCGGATAGAGGCTGCGCAGCGGGTGCGGCAAGTAAGCAAGGTATATATAGGCAGCATGCACACACATACATGTATATATAAAGTGGGATATAATATATATATGTATATTAAGGATGAAGATGACATGAAGCTGACTGGGGTGGGAACATGTTGGAGATGGAAGTGAGGTGTGGACATGGTCAAAATACATTGTATGCATATATGAAATTCTCAATGAGTAAGGATATATTTTTAAGTTAATACAGGGTCAGGAAGGTGGCTCAGTGGTTAAGAACTACTACTCTTGCAAAAGCCTGAATTGTATTCCTAAGACCCATATCTGACCGGTCACAACCTCCTGTAACTACAGCCCCAGGGAGTCAGGGACTCTTCTGCCTCCTGGGTCACCTGCATTTACACATAAACAAAAACACTATTAAAAAAATAATAAATATAAACTGGGCAGTAGTGGTACACACCGTTAGTCCCAGCACTTGGGAGTAGAGGCAGGTGGATCTTTGTGAGTTCAAGGCCAGTCTGGTCTACAGTCAAGGCTACACAGAGAAAACCTGTCAAAAAATCCAATTAGCTAATAATAAAGCCCAGCATGGCAGTATACACATTTAATCCCAGTACTTAGCAGGCTGATCTCTGAATTTGAGGCCACCCTCCCATATACAGCTAGTTCCAGGCTAGCCAGGACTATATAGTAAGACACTCTCAATAATAATCAGTAATTATAAATAATAATAAACCTTTAAAATATAAATAAAATAGGAAGGGAACAGTTATTAAAGATGGAGTCCACCAGTAGTTCAGGAAATAATTGCAATCATGGCATTGCGTGAAATTAAAAACCTTCCTCAGAGCAAATAAAACAATCAGTAGAGTGGCAAAAACCTACACGATGGAAGAGAAATCTTTGCTAGTTACATATAGTCAATTAATAGAGAGGTTTTCAAAGGAAGAAAACAATAAGTATATGAAAAGGTATTCCGCCTCCATAGCTATCAAGAAAATATAAATTAAAACTGCATTTGAAGCACACAAGCATAGGGATAACTTAACAACCTGTGACGCCATTTGCCTTGAGCTCCACATATGCACTCCCCTTCCCAGAGATGCATTAGTCAACCTTGCTGAACTGCAAGCACACCCCACTTCCAGCAACGAAGTGAAGTGCTTCTCCTTGACAACGCTATGGCAGCTCCCCATTTTTCAAATATGTCTCGGAACATATCTAAGAACAGGAGGCAGGGGGCTGATCCAGCTGCAGCTGGTTTGGGGTTCATGCATAGTAATGTGTACTCCAGGACAAAGGTGTACTCAGAGTGGATTTCTAGGGGGAAAATTCTATTTACCATCTTATAGCTAAGCACAATTGGGAGTGCATGTAATTAAGCCAGAGACATCGTGGGAATGGACATGCACGGTACAAAAAAAGCTTATGTAATCCAATCCTATCAGTCAAAAGAGAATAACTCATACCCGACCCTTGGCAGTCAACTGTTCCTAGACCCCATGAAGGTAGCCTCAAACAATAGCTTATGTGCTTGAGAACTCCAGCGCCATGAACCTAGTCACTTTCAGTGAGTCAGGTGTGTACTGTTGCTTTGCTTCTAAATAAAGGTTCTTGCTTCTGCAGGAGCTTCTTCAGTTCTCTGAACAAGATGCCAAGGTCCTGCAAAGGCCAGGTCCAGACCCAGACCCTCCCATACACATCTCTGTAACATGCAGAGATTCCTTTTTGCCGAGTCAGATCAGCTGTCATCAAGGAAACAAAGGATGACAAAGGCTGGTAAAGAACCCTTATACCCTGCTGATAGGAATGTAGCCTGACCGTGATGATTAGGGTTGACTGTCAACAAGACAGAATCTGGAGATGGAAGATGAGCCTCTGGCCATGTCTGTGGGAGATTATCTTGATGAGGTCACTTAGGTGGGAAGCTCCAGGCACTGTGGGTGGCACCATTCCCAGGGCTGTTATCCTGGGTGTATAAAATGAAGAGATCAAGTTGAGCAGTAGCAAGCATGCTTGTACTAATTGTTCTCTGTTCTTGATGGTGACCATGACATAACTAGCTCCCTCAAGCTCCCGTGGCAGTGAATTCCGCAATATGATGAACTGTAACTTGGAATTGTAAATCAAAATAAGCCTTTTCTCCCTTTACTTGCTTTTGCCAGAGTATTTTTTATCATAGTAATGACAAAACAAAAAGCAAGCAAACAAACAACAACAAAAAAGACCTAAAATACAATGATAGCCACTATGGAAATCAATATGGAGGTGCCTCAAAAAACACAAAACAGGGCTGGAGAGATGGCTCAGAGGTTAAGAGCACTGATTGTTCTTCCAGAGGTCCTGAGTTCAATTCCCGGCAACCACAAGGTGGCTCACAACAACCTTGAATGAGATCTGGCGCCCTCCACTGGCGTGCAGGCAGAAGACTGTATACACAATTAAAAAAAAAAAACAGCCTGTCATATAATGCACTTATTTAACTCCTGCATATATATCTGAAGGAGTCTAAGCACACTACAGGGATAACTTGCATATCCATTGTCACACTACTTATAATAGCCAAGATATAGAAGCAGTGCCAATCAACAAGTAAACAGGAGAAGAAAAATTAGCATGTATACATTATGGAATTTTATTCAACCATATGGAAAAGTGAAGTTATGCCATTTACAGGAAATGCATAGAAATGGAGGTAGTGAGCCGGGCATTGGTGGCGCACGCCTTTAATCCCAGCACTCGGGAGGCAAAGGCAGGCGGATCTCTGTGTGTTTGAGGCCAGCCTGGTCTACAAAGTGAGTTCCAGGACAGCCTCCAAAAAAAAAAAAAAAAAAAGAAAGAAAGAAATGGAGGTAGAGGCATATGAAATAAACTAGATTAAAAAAGACAAATATGACTTTTCTTATATGTGAATCTAGATTTAAATACATACATATTCACAGACACATTTATGACATGGAAGTAGGAGCTTTAGTTGAGGAGAGGAAGAGGTATAAAAAGAAGGCAGTAGGGGCTGGAGAGATGGCACAGAGGTTAAGGGCACTGGCTGCTCTTCCAGAGGTCCTGAGTTCAATCCCCAGCAACCGCTTGGTGGCTCACAGGCATCAATAGTGAGATCTGTTGCCTTCTTCTCATGCAGGAGTGTATGCAGGCAGA